TGGGTGCTAGGGACCAAACCCAGGTCCTCTGCAAGAACAGCAAGTGTTCTTAACCACTGAGCCATCTGCAGCCCCAACAACTAATGTTTCTATAGAGATACAACTAGGAAAATATATGGAAAGACACCTCTGTTAAATGCCAGTTAATGGAAAGCCAGTCCCTCAGTCTAAGCACACTTGCTCATTTGATTATTCAACTCCAAGAGAGGAGGACTTCAGTAATTCAGTGTCTCTATTAAAATGTATAAAAATTACACAATTACATCTTCAAAGGAGGTAATGATTTCAAAATGATGAGGTATGACATACTTTCAAAAGAAGTGGAAAGGAATAACTTCTGGACTGAAAGAACAGGCTGTGAAAACACTGTACTATGACAGAATCTGAAGTGAAGTGTGATTTATCACTGTAGATCCCAAGAAACATGAATAAGAAATTCAGGATAAACATGAAAAATGAAGGGATACAAACAAGGAAAAGAACTAAGCCAAAACAACAGAAGAGGACCAGGGAAAAATCAGTACAGTGGAATGGAAATGTGATGCCCATTCTCCATGGCATACCCCAAACATGAGAATGAAGTATAGGAGTCCCCAAGAAGGCCCAACAAAGTACTACCTAGTGCACGCAACAACTGTCCTGCTGGCTGCAAGCCTCAGCTAGCAGGTGCCTACTGTCCTCCCCTCTGTGCTGGCTTTCAGCAAATTCATATGCTGAGCCGACTGAACCCTTATCTTCTTCCATCTAGAAGGACAGAAAAGCAGTAAGTCTTATATTCAGAATAATACTCTCACAGCAGTTTAAAATCAAAGCAGTAGGTTGGTCTACAATCTGTGGGGCACAGACGTAAGTTCACACAACAGCACTGTTACTGTCACAGGACAGAGAGAGCCAAGGAGCTTCTTGGAGAATACAGCAAAGCACACCATATGAAGACAGTGCAAAGCTCTGAGAAGCACACAGCCTAGTAAAAGCCAAGTTTCCTTTGGTTAAATTCTTTTTCTTCTGTAAAACTCAGTGTCACCAAGACTTAGCATTTGTTTTCTCATCTGCACTCTCATTAGGTCACTGCTCTACTTTTAACTGGACTGGAGAGCAGAAGGGTCACATGACCATAAACAGCAGCTGTAGAAAGAGGGCATAATTTACTTGTTAATAAAATTAAGTTGAAATATTTCTTTAGGGAATGTCAACTTACAAACATAGATTTAATTTTTTTATGTGTATGAGTGTTTTGCTTGCATGTATGAATGAGGCTGGTGCCTTTGGAGCCAGAAGAGGGTGCTGGATCCCCTGGAACTAGAGTTACAAATAGTTGAAACACCAGGTGAGTGCTAGGTACTGAACCCATGTCTTCTGAAAGAACAGCTATTGCTCTTAACCACTGAGCCCTCTTGATATCAAGCCCAGCAAAGGTCAACTTGTTTCTGTCTGGATTTGGCTGAGAATAGTATCTTCTTATTGTTTTTCTTTGCTGCTGATTTGAAGTGAACAGTATAAAACATCCATGTGCTCTGTAACGATCCTAGACTCCTAGGAAGGGGAACATGCAGAGATGTGCATATTGCAACACACTAGAAGGAGCAGAGTGTGGCACCAGCGCTCAGGCCAGCTGTGAGGAGAGCAGTAGATTCTTCTTCAGTGACATCTCACCCAAAGGTCCTGTTTTCATGGCAATCTTTCCGAGGAATGTTAATGTTACTAGTTTATTACAATATTATAATACCTGGGGTCTCATTGCACTTTGCTTTTCTCATTCTTTTATGTCTAGTATTGCTTTTTAAAAAAGGGGTTGTTTTAAGACAAAATATGTAAAAAACTACAAATTCACAACAATATGATTAATCACAGTGTAAGTTATCATCCTTTAACAAGAGCTGGCCTATGTTCTTTTATATAATAAACTCTTCTATTGGCAGGTCTTTAATATAAGATATCTAGATAGCCATTGATTATAGAAAATTAGCTATTCAAAAAAGTGAGGGATACATATTTGCCTCAATCAAAAGTAAAAATCAAACCTTCATTACAGATTTTGTAAATATAAAAAATGATTTACCATTCATTTGCTATACATAATTATTGTAGCTATCATTCAAAGAAAAATATCTGAAAAATTTTAAAAAGTAGGAATAAAAACACAAAAAGGTTAGTAAAACTTTAAAGCACCTTTTAAATTATAAACTCATATCACCTGACAGTTAAATGGTCTTATATCAAAGCTATTCATTTGATCAAGTGAATACACACAAATTAGAACTTTTGAGAATAAAAAATAATTTAAAATACACATAATTGTCAGACTGGTGGCATATGCTTTTAATCCCAGCATTCACGAAGCTGAGACAGGTACATCTCTGTGAGTTTGAAGCCAGCCTGGTGTACATAATGAGTTCTAGTACAACCAGACACCCTGTTTCAAAACAAACAAAAAGCAAACAAACGTATTTTTTTGACATTTTATAATACCAAAAGTTCTAGGATTTCAGCTTGCATTTCCTTCTATCAAAAGACATCTTGAGGTTAGGTTTTTTTTTTTTTTTTTTTTTTTGGTAAACTTCCAAATTGGCATGGCTGTGGAGGTAAGAGTTAAATATAAGATATAAAATATATATTTCAACTTATAGATGCAGTAAAGAACAGCCAAGATGTAAGATACTTATGTAGCCACTGTAGTATACAAAGACACACACACACACACAAGTATTTATATCACAGATTAAGGCAAGACAAAAAACATAGGCAACTCTTACAAGTTATTACAATTTAGGTTTACACTTCGTGATGACTTTTTAAGTACCCGACATGCAGGAGCACACGCATGACTATGACAACATGCAGGAGCATACACGCATGACTATGACAAGCAGAAGCATTAGAATTATGCTAGAAAAATAGGTGTGACATATGTAACAAGGTACAGTTCTCTGTCCTCATGTTTAATTTCCATCTGAATTTTCTTTTTGAAGAAGAAAGGATGTCATTTTAAAATTTTAATATATGTATTAATTAAGGTCAAATTAGAGACAGAGCTGTGCTAACAAAAATACTTGACTCTTTATTGATGCATCTGCCCATCTTTTGAATATTATTTAATTGACCTTTGCATGCATAAGGGTTACAAGGATCTACTCCTACTCTACCTAAGTTTGCTCAGCTGATTCCTTGCCCTCGACAAAGGCTGCAGTGCGATGAACTCGTCACTTAAAGCAACTGTGTTGGAGTACATCTATAAGTGGACAGAAAAGGGATGGGACACACACAAGTCAGTGAGCTGTATTCATCATCTGGGAGACAGACACAGGACAAGCTTTGTAAATACCAAACACCTGTTCCCACAAGAGCAGAAATATGCACGGTATGCACACAACTGGTATTGTAGAATGCATGCCTTAAAAAATTCTTATTCTGAAGAAAAAAGAACTTAGAATAAATGCTGGCAGCCCTCCCTTTAATGTGACTTTTCTTGTTATATCTGATAAGCAATGAGGCATCTGACAACTTAGTAGCATTTCTGCATCATTTGAAATCAGAAGGGACAGTAGAAGCTGAAGTGAATACTGCTTACAGGAAAGGAGTAATATGACATTTACTGTCACAGCATAAAAAGGAAAGAGAAAAAAAAAACACAAAATGACAGCAACAGGCTAGAAGACCCATGAATAGAAGTAAAACTTTCCTTCCTTTGCCCAAATGAGAACAACCAGAAAATCTCATTTATCACTGGATACTAATTTATATAGAAAAAAGGGAAAATTATTCTGACTTCACATATGATAAAATAATTTAGTGTAAATTCCCTTTTTAATAAATTTTAACTTATGTTAAAATAAATATATAGAATATTCTTAACATAAGTAAAATCATACCTTTTGGATCAGTAGGCAATCCCTATGAAAATACACTTGAAACTTTTAAACCATAGAACAATTTAGGACAAATGCAAATAAATGTTACTATGTTGTTACTCAACCTTTTGGGGAACTATACTATAGATTACAGGGTGAGACAAACTATCCTCCATAAAAATCTAGAAAAGTGGAGCTGGAGCAAAGGTTAAGCACACACACTTCTCATGCTGAGAAGCTGAGTTCAGTTCCCAGCACTCACTCTGGGTAGTTCACAACCACCTGTAACTCCATCTCCAGGAGATCCAACTCTCTCTTCTGGCCTCTACTGGCACCTGAAATCATGTGTGCATACCCCCATACATATACATACAATTGAAAATTAGAAACAAAATCTTTAATTTGAAAAGCCTAAAAAATACAATAAAATTTTTAAAGTAATACTTTGACTATATTTATGTCTAAAGATTAAAAATAAGATAAATCCTTCAGATATAGATTTAAATAACATATTGTAGAATGGAATTCTATCCCTGCTCATGCATATATACACACAGGCAGACACAAAAATCATGTAACTTTTCTCAGCACCATTCAGAAATCAGTATGACAGAGTAATATCTCATTTTATACTGCACCAAATACACATTCACTACAATTATAGTGCCAAACTAAGAAAATGATAAGTAAATGCTGAAGTGACCAATGGAATCATTTCTTTAGCACTTACTGTGCTTAAATATACTTTCATTTAATCCTCACTGCAAAGGAAATGAAGGATATTTCTATCATAATTTCACTGATGGTACTGGTCCCCAAATATCATATCCCTAAGCATTACCATACTTAACGTCTGCTGGAGTTTAAGGACATGCTAGACACCTTAGCCACAGCTAGCCGATGTAATACTGTGGCATTTGAAGTGGATTTAGTACTATGATCATCTGGACATAACTTGATAGTTTGGTATTTAAATTATAATTACTAGCAGCTATAAAAATTAATAGAAAAAATAAGAAAAAATGAAAACAACAGACTTAAAACTACTGGAGATGCTTTGCTATAGGAAGAGGTGTTTTCCAACAGAAGCACTCTGTAATTGTAGTTACAGCGCTTTGTTCCCACAGGAGTACTGAGTATGAAAGTGCGTACCTGTGCCTTTTCTGTACTTGTTGGATGAAGGTGTCGGTCAAACACTTTCTTCACAACATCAAGGAACAGACAAGTAACAACCATGAGGAGTATGGCAAACCACACCGGTCCACTTGACAGGAGCTGAATAAATACAAAGTACATATTCTGGGAGCCCAAAAATGGCCTGCAAAGAAAGATAGTAGACTCATTAAAAGCAAACACTGGCTATGCATAGTATCACATGCCAGTATTCTAAACACATGCAAGAGTAGGCAGAACCCTGGGTTTGAGGCCTACACACAGTGAGATGTTGTGTTAGAAACAAACAAGTGAAATAAAAATTTAACAAGTTAAATCAAGACATCAGCAAAACTTAAATAACTGAAAGTAACAATTTTAAGAGTGCCAGGAAAATTTTCTAAATTGAAACTGGAAAACTTAAATAAACTAATGAAATATAGACTGGATTAAAATGTAAAATCCAGTTTAATTATTTTTAACAATTATAATTTTTATTAATAGGGGAATAGCAAGCTACTAACTAGATCACCCTAGTTTCCTGGCAAGTTATAAAAGGAATAATGGAGACTAGACTGATGTAGACTACAGAAGTAATGCGTGAGGAAATACTTTCTACTGACTACAAAGGAAACACCGGGACAGGTAAAGCGCTCGCTGTGCAATACTGACAACCTGAACTCTCCTGGAACCCAGGAAAGGTAAAACGTGAGAACTGGTGCTGCAGAGTTGTCCTCTGATGTCCACATGGCTGTCATGACAACAACGGTGACGATGACAACGACGACAACCACTGCCACCACCACCCTCCTGATTATCCAAATCTTAGACTGAATGCTAGGTTTTTCTTTAAACACACAGAGATGCTACATCATGGTATTATAAAGGTATCCTTTTTGGGTTTTTGTATATATCAACTTCTAGAGACTATAGGGAATGTAGAAACAATTAGGGCAAGGTTTACAGACAAACAATATGCATACGTGTGCTCTTTTGTGACCCTTTTATGGAAGGTAATGATCAGTCAATTCAAGTTGTTTGAGCTTACCTTTAAAAAGTTTTGCCTGGTAAGTGGACCTAAGGTACAATAGACACATGTAATGTATATGCTTTCCAAAAGAAAGGTACCAGTTGACCATCACTTACCAAAAAATCTTAGAGAAGCATAATTGTTAATCTTTCAAAAAGCCTACTAATGATCTACATTTAATGAAGATGAAGCATACTATTAACCTTTGAGAGAGATGTTATCAATAAAAAGCTAAGGGGTTTTTATGACATTATACACATGAGAAAATAATTTAAAAATAAAATGATTAGTATAAAGAACACTACTAATGAAGTCAGACAAATGGCTTATGGCCTAGCTTTCTTCTGTTTTCACCTTTGTGACCAAGAGGCTCAGTTTTCATGTAGAAAAATGAGGACAATAGGATTATTATGAAGATCAATTCAAAGGAATGAACTCACCAGCATAGTTTCTAAGAACAATTAGGATCAGAATTTGGTATCAAGGAACCCACCATAATAAATGTGCACTACAGTTAAATCAACATAATTAAGACATAGTGTAATCACTCACCAGAGAATCCCACCATAAAACAAAGAAAATATAAAATAAAATATAATAGATCCCCAAGTGACAAGATGGTTGATCCAGGTCCAGAAATGAGTTTCCAAAGCCATCTAAAAGAAAAAAAAATGTTTTAGCAATATAAAGTAATTTAGTTTAACTTCCAGATAAAACTTAAGAATTACACATATCAATTATAGATGTCTAGAAGGTCCTATCCCCATAGCACAGTTCCTTAGAAGGCACAAGAGTCTCATAGGAAATAGTGTAGTATTTTCCTTCTGAGGGAAAGCAGGATTAAATATCATGTAATGATATTACCTTAACTCCAAGGCACAAAATACACTGTGCTATTTTAGATGATATACAATGAAGCAAAATTTGCAACTGAAACTATATGAAGCTTTCAAACAGAGAGAAGAATTTATAGCAACATTTAAATGAATGATTAAAATTCAGTGAAACCATATACTGTAAAAAATCAAAAGGGAAACTATATATGAGATATACAAACAAAGTATGCAGTTTTCTAATGTGGTGGCATACCTTTACTGTGACCGTAATAACCATGACTGTGAAGACCAGAGTACCAAACGTCCAGTTTCCAAACATCTAAACACAAGGAACAGAGTATTATCTGAATTATTTCAGAGATATATACATGAACTCTGACAATATTAATAAAGTTACAAGAATGAAGACAACAATAATGAGGCTTTATTACGTATGGTAACTATTCTGGATAATGACCCTTTGGGTAATACCAGAAATCCAAAGATGGTTCAGAATTCAGAGCTGTGTATCAGATAGTTTTTACTTAGGATGATATAGTTGTGATTGCTTTATTCCTGTGCCCCTGCAAATATGGCAATAAAACGTTGCTTGACCCACAGTTATTTTCTGAAACATTTCTAACCAGAAGTTAAAATAGGAAGTTTGCTATCATGTGTCTGGATAAAAAAAAATCTTAGTAAGCAAAAAAAAAAAAAAAAAAAAAAAAAAAAACAGTCTTTAAACTTTAACCAGTACCTGAAAAAAAAAATGGCCAGTGGAACTATTCTTCAAATGATTCCATATAAAAAATGGAATTTATCTGTAAGTAAATCAGTCAGAAGTATTTTTTGGTCTTTATAGACCAACTTACAAAGTCCATCAAATGCAGAATCCCAGAGGAATATCATTATCTTATTTCTATATTAAGACCGTAAGTATGCACTTATATGAATTTACTTTACGAAGCAGTGATAATCCTGACACTCATTTAGACTTATGTAAAAGGCTGACTTGTTCTTTAATGTACACATGTCTATAGTGATTACTTGACAAATTACTTAAGCTCCCTGACTCCTTACATCATTTGTAAAATGAGGGTAAATCTCACAGATGTTAGTAAAATTTAAAGTATCCAAAAAGGATAAAGTTTCTAGAACATAAAAAGTGAATGGTAAATATCTATGATTAACAATGAAGGAGCAATTAGCATTCCTTTATTTGAGGGTACCTTGTCATCCACCAAGGAGATACAAAATGTAGAAATCCTTTTGAATCAATGCTTATTTCTCAGTCTTTACATATGCAGACTTGGAAATGCTAAAGTCAATGGTATCAGCTGGAATCCTCGAGTGGCAGTGCTTTCAGCAGGGGGCAACTTTGACCTCCAGTAAGAAGTCCATTGTCCTAATCTGAGGGTCTGAGTTTACTTAAGACATGCTATGCTGTATTTCCCTAGAAAGAGGGCAGACAGCATTTTGCTTGTGTAAGTCACACTTGGTGACTTCTTCAGAGGGTGAGGAGTAAGCTCATAAAGACCAGCTCTCTGCATGTTGACATCCCATTCAACTACAGGCGAGGCAGAAAGCATTTGGGGGTCAGGCTACGGAGAAGTGATTTAAACATTCATATTTATCAACATTTTAATATTTTTTAAGCATTCTCACTTTTTTTTTTACCTGGCCATTTCCAAGCAGAGATGTATCTTTCCCCACGAGAAAATAGGATCCAAAAAAGAAAATGAAGGCGTGGCTGAAACCCAGGATGGTCCAGTAAAGAAATGCTTTAATGCTCAAGAGACGGTTTTTACTAATGTCCCTACAATTATTTTTTAAAGAAAAAGGAACACATTAAGATTAATTTTTTAATCTTCTAGGCAATTAATTTAAACTGATAATTTAAATAATAGGATTTTAAGATGACTAAAATTAGCATAAAGAATAAACCTAAATTTGCAAACAATCATTTCTAATAATTTATAACAGCTGAGAGTTCATATAATGGATTCTAATACCTTTTCATTTGATAATAAAATAAAACACAGGCACAATACTTCAGTTGACTGTAAAAAACCTGATTATCTGTATCATAATCTGCTCCCATTCAGTCTCTGCCATGATGATCTCTTAGTGAGACAGAAGCTCAAGTCAGCACCAAGGTGCTCATCATTTTCGCTGAGAAGTTAACCGTTCTGGGAATAACAGACTGTCATGGGTTTCCTGGTAAACCAGAGCAAGCTACTCCACACCATAACTGGTTATCTCTCTGACTGGCAGCTCTATAGCCTCTACAACAGTTTATGAGGATCAGTGGCTGGGCCTGACAGACTCGACATCTCTAGGACCACTTAGTTTTGGGGGAGTTCTGAAAAAAGCTGCAGTTATTCTCCTTCACTTGCATTTAACACTAATAAATTATCTAATAGTAGAACATAAACAATTTTTAGGAACTCTCGATGCTATTAACAAGCGAGTAACTTCTCTTGAGTACATGGAGTAGAATACTGTGGACAACAGTCCAAGAGTTGAAGTGTTTACTCTTAAAAACACCAGAAAATTATTGAAAATTTCCCTTTAATATCGAAACACTGTAAGCCATGCAACAATTATGCTTTAGTATTTATACCAAGATACTCCCTATACACATCGACATTGGGAAATACATACCGATAGAGGGTAGGCTTGCTCTGTAACACATGAGGGTCTATATGTTGTTCCAAAAGACTATATATGAGAACAGGCAGGGAAGTAAAACAGATATTGTACAAAGTCAGGTACACGCTGTCATACAGTGTCTAAAAGAGAAATAAATTGGAGGAATTTTGAGATTCTAAATTATTATTTCTATTACACATAATAATGGAAAAATACTAAAAATATGTACCTTAATTTTTCAATTTATGCTAAAATCCATTTTAAAGAGTTTCAATTAATAAATGTGATTTGTTTTAGTATAGAACCTATACTGTTCCTAGATTTATATCTGTGGAACTGAAAAATTTCACTGATAAGATTTCATAATGTAGTAAATTGGATCTCCATCTAAGAATTCCTCAGTTTGGTCAGTAGGATGCAGTTTTACAGTCCTCCTATAAGCATTCTAGGATCCTGGGGTGTCTCTATTGGGCTACACATCACTTTCCCACCTACCTTCATCTATACAGCCTGTAGTACTGAACCCCGCCGTGTAACGGCGTAAGCGAATGCAGACAGATTGTCAAAACATAGACAGCTTTAATGGAGGAATAGACTTATAGAACCACCGTTCCCGCGGAGACCAGGAAAGCAGAAGCGAGCGCTGGGAGCACGCTCGCCAAATTTATAGGCAAACTTTAGCCTGAGGCGAACACGCCCCCTAAGGGGTGGGACTTATCCCTACATCTCCCCATTTTGTCTAAATAAGACAGAACTAAACCAAATACAACTATATACAATAATAACAAAAAATAAATATAACAAACAATATTGAGAATCAAAAGTTTTGCTAAACATTCTATCTCAAGGAGTCTAAATAATGTAGAGAGTAACTACAATTATATAATCTTCAACTCCATCAAAGATCCGAGAAGGAAATAAATATTACTTAACAAACGAGATATATTTTAGGTCAATTTTATTATATGTATATGTATTTCTGATCTTTATTAAGGTATTGTGATTGTGTAGTTCATTTAAAAATGTAATGTATATAGGTTGTTAATGGATAATCATTAATAATAGTCAAGTTTGTAGTCATGTTAGTTAGATTTTCTAGATATATAGATATATATTTCAGTTAGATAGGCATTCTTCATATTTTTCAAAGACTACGGAATATGCTATTAAATGTTTTAATAACTTAGGGTTTCTCATGACAATGAGACACTCTGCTCCTGGCAGCATCAATCTACTTCAAGAGGAAGATGGGCATCGAAGAGGATCCTTATGGGGTTTGATAGCTATTTGGGCAAGAAACTGCTCTTGCCTGGACTATTGCATAAACTGGACACAGAGAACCCGCAGAGAGAGGACTGCTGAACTTGCCTAAAGGTGAGATGACCTTTTGGGGTTCCTGATTCATGAAAGAGTCTGCAAGACATTCTTCAGGACAAGCAGATAGTGACTGCCTTTGAAATTTCCTGCTTTGTGGAAATGTCTGCTGGAAACTATGGGCCTGTAGGCCGAAGATGGATGCCCCAACGGTACAGAGGAACTTTGGGTGACTGTCCAGGAAGCGAGATGTCTCTGTCATTTCTAGAGTTTTGGATTTCTTGTTTGCTTAGGTAATAGTATATCTTTCTGGAGTCTTTGATGGAGTTAAAGAATAGTTAGCCATAGTTATAGTTTTCCTTAGTTATAATATAGATTATTGTAATTTTTACTTGATAACTGTTTTGTTATATGTAATTTTGCTATGTTAAGTTAAAGCCTTCCTTTTTTTTTAAACAGAAAAAGGGGAAATGATGGAGGAAGGTAATTGGTTAATTATAATAAACCAACTGCTTGGCCTCATAGCTTAGAAGATAGATGGGAGGAGTAAACAGAATAGAATTCTGGGTGGAAGAGGAAGTGAGGGCAGACTCTGCTCTGCTTCCGGAGAGACTCGACAGCTCTGCTCTCTGGAGCAGAGACGCCATGCTCCGCTCTCCCAGGCAGATGCATGCAATGAAGCTCCTCCGACCCAGAATGGATGTAGGCTAGAATCTTCCCAGTAAGCGCACCTTGGGGTGCTTACACACATCATTAGAAATGGGCTAGTCCAGGTGTGAGAGTTAGCCGAGAAGAGGCTAGATATAATGGGCAAGCAGTTCTTAAATGAATACAGTTTGGGTGTTGTTATTTCGGGCATAAGCTAGCCAAGTGGCCGGGGTGTTGGGGACGCAGCACCGCCGCTTCCTATTTCAACACCGCCGCCTTCCATGGAACCTGTTATTTATTTATTTATTTATTTATTTGAGTGGCTTAAATCTTCCATCTCTTCCTCTCAAGTGTTCTAGTTGCTGCTGCTGGTACTAATGCTTTAACTCTTTACTTAGGATCTACACAATGTTTCTATTGTCATTGTGCTGATGGGTTTTTGTCAACCTGATACAAACCAGACGTATCTGGGAGAAGGGAAGCTTAACTGAAAAAAATGCCTCCATAATGTTGACCTGTAGGCACTATTGCTCTGATTAAGGACTGATGTGGAAGAGTCCAAGCCACTCTGGGCGATGCCATCCCTGGGCAGGTGGTCCTGGGTTGTCTAAGAAAGCAGGCTGAGTGAACAAACCAACACGCAGTGCTCCTCCATGGCCTCTGTTCACTTCTTGCCACATGTTCCTACCTTGAGTTCCTGCCCTGACTTCCCTCAGGGATGGAGTATGGCCTGAGAACTGTAAAGTGAAATAAACACTGTCCTGCTCAAATAGCTTTTGGTTATGATGTTTTATCATAGCAATATACACCTTAATGAAGACACTTATTAATACTATCTCTTTGAAAACCCAGTCAAAATATATTTGGTTCCCATTGTCATATGATCTTAAAGTATTTAATTCAGGTAAGCTATTGCTAGTAATCAATGTCTATGAAGGCATTTAAAAGTTAAAGTTCTGTCTTGTAAATAGGGGAAAAAAAGAAATTATGAAAAGGAATGATTTTTTTCCTTTTCTTTTTCTATTTTTTTAGGTGCATAAAGTTTATTGAACAGACCATATAGAATTATTCCTCCCTAGAGACATTCATAATCTTCTGTGGTTCATAACTGGGGTGTGTGCACACTCAGGGCCCTCACTGATATCAATACCTCGATGAACTAAAGCTCTGGGAAGTTATAAAACTAATAGAACTCTTGGGAAGCTGGGGGGTCTCTTCCGGCCATTACAAATATGTGGAGACCATCAAGCTGGCAGAGCTGTATGTTACGGGAAATGTGCTACTGACAGGAGCTCCTGGATGTTTTAATAAGTGCTATGAAACCTGTCCCTGATAATAAAATGGGAAAAAATGAAAAACTGAGTGGGGAAAAAAAGCATAATGCATGATCACTAAAACGTGAAAATCATGTAATAGGCGTGAAAGTACCTACTCAATACATAAATTTATCAGAATATAAAATGTTTTCTCAAGCAAGTTAAAAACTGCTGCTTTCCACTTCAGAAAAGAAAAGGCAAATGAAAACAAGTCAATCTTTTTTTTTTTTTTTTTTTTTGAGACATTGTTTCTCTGTAGCTTTCAAATCTGTTCTGGAACTAGCTCTTGTAGACTTGGTTGGCCTGGAACTCACAGAGATACATCTGCCTCTACCTACTGAGTGCTGGGATTAAAGGCATGCACCACCATTGTCTGGAGGAACTAATGAATTTAATCATAACTGAAGATTGTGTAATGTAGCGATCATTTTAAGATACACAATGAGCTATGTGAAAGGGCGATTATGGAAAGCCAGTTTCTGAGGTGAGATTTATGTAATCCCTGAACCAAATCACTAACGCTATGCCCAAATTTTTAAGACTTCAGGATCAGGAATCAAACAAAACAAAACAAAACAAAGGGAACCTCTGTTAATTCTTTGTCACAGATAGTTTGTACAAGCAGTCAGTTATTAAGGTCAGGAAGTTACTAAGAGTATTTGATGGACCTAATACTTAGCATTACTGGAGGTGGCGGTGGTAACTCTCACCTGTCATCCTACCACTTGGGAAGTAGAGGCAAGAGGACCACCCATTCAAAATTATCCCTGATTACACAGTGAGAGGGCATCTGGGGTACATAAAACCTTGCACAAACAAACACACATACAAATAAATGAAGAGAGACTTTTTTTTTAAAAAGTCCACAATTAACATATATTTTGGTATTAATAGTAGTTTCAAATTAAATGCCAGAATAAATATTATGACTGTTAGGTGAATTAAGTAAATATACCTACTTACTTACACAACAACAAAATAAATGAAGTCTGTTTAAATATTTGTCAAGATTTGAACAAATTACTTTACTAAAAGGACAAACACAAACTTTTATTTTACTTACTTGTTGAGAAAACAAACAGTAGAACTGATATAAAAATTGGGGTGTGATAAAGCACACATTCTGAAAAACAAGACAAAATGGGAAGTAATTTAAATATTTACAACCAAAGAGAAAGAAGTCTTAAAATGGTTATTAAAGTATCTAGAAACAGAATCTCAGTTGACACTGTAAGATGCCTTTTCTCTAAAGACACATCCATGAAAATGAGAACACAGAATTCTCATGTTATTAAATCATGTCTAAAATCTGCTTAAGGAATCATATAGACATTATAATGAATATTCTTAGTTCCCACCAGTTCTAAGCAGTAAAAGTTATGTTTTTAACTTCTAATTTGTACCACAGATATTATAATATGTAATAGTTGCTCATATATCAGGGCTCTGAGAATTTGATATTGCTGATTAAGGCACATAAGTGGCACTATCATAACATCTTTTTACCACATGTGAATCTTTCTACCACAATATCTTTAATATCACAAGTGAAGCTAGAACAATAGGAATAGGCTAGAAAAACTGTCACATCATCTCATGGTAATATGACTTTTTATGTTCTATCAGTTTGCAACTATTAATTACACAACACATACAAGATATTCTAGTGTGGTAAATGTTTATAAGCAAGGACTCAACACAGGTTCCACTGAATCTCATCTTTCTTGAAAGGGTCCAAAGAGAGAACATTATTTCAATATTATAATCTGTTTTATTATACAAATAAACCAAACCCTCTGTAACTGAGAGGATGATATTATACATTACACAGGGCTACCCTTGAAACAAAAAAGGTTAAGGAGCTCTGCTATGAATCCATGAAATTAGAGAGGTTCAATTAGATTGCCTAGACCAACATAAAATAGCTTTAAGCAAATTACATTTTTTTTTGCAGGTGAGTTTACAAAGGATACATTTAAGTGTAAATTTTGATACTTGATAAATTTATATACCATAAGATTAGAGAACTTTCTCAATTGTGTGTTTGTGAGCTCTCTCAGTTTTGACATTTTACTGTGTGTGAGAGAGACGGGCAAACAAAGAGAGAGAGCAAGTTCACACCATGGCACATATTTAAAAGTCCGACGACAACTCATAGGAGTTCTCTCCTTCTACCATGGGGTCCTGGGTTTGAACGCAGGGTATCAGGCTTGTTGACAAGAGCCTTCACCCACTGAGCCCTCTGACTGACCCAAAAATGCTCTAATAGCCCTCCCTTTCAAGCAATCCTACTCGTGTCTTGGTGGAACAGACGACCACTGACCTGCAGTTGGAGCAATAAATCTATTACAAAATAGTTATTTTTGTTTAAAGAAACTATTTTAAGAATAATTTGAATGTCTGTATCATTCTTAAATTAGAATTTTAAGTTGAAATATCAACTAATCCTTATGATCCAATGAAACTCACCTTATAAAAAAAATACTGTACAAGGGTAGCTATTCTAATATAATAAAAATGACCATGAACAAACAGTAATTTGGAGAGGAATTTAAATCTAGCTACTGCATAGTCACTGTTCCTTGCAGCTTGTCTTCCTTCTTTACCCATGATTCCTGGAATAAAGAAGACAAAAAGGGATGTTCACTAATAAACAATGTGTAATTTTCACAATATATATCACTCGGAACTATTTATACTTGCTGTAACGCTAAATACTTATATACAGCGGTTAGCTGCTATCCAAAAGGCTGTTCTACTTAAATATGCTTAATATCAAAGTCAATTATATACCAGGCATGTAACATCAATTTTCAAAGGATCAGAAGAAGATAATACTGAAATGTTCAGATCTAGGGGGGCATAACAAAGTGCTAAACTTCTGATGAGCAGGCGGCTCTAGGACGTCTTTAAATTCACCAGTTCAAAAGAATATTAAAAGATGAAAATTCAGGAATTTGAACCCAATACAAATAAGCATATTTTTATGATTTTAAGCTATAGTGTATAAATGAATGTGGTTTTAAGTAAAAACTGGATTTTCCTATACATTTTCAATAAATTAAGTAAAGACTGTACACCCTGAAAGCAATGCATCATTTTACCTGGAAAATAAGTCTTCTTTTTAACAAATATGCATTTTCAAAACATTTTATTTATATTTTAATGAGTGACTAACCATAATAAACATTCAAGTGTGTATGTCTGTACAGTGTTTGATTTGTTTTTATTTTTGTTTTCTTTTGTTTTTTTAAAAACCATCAGATCTTATATACAAAACTACAAAACAAGGTGTTTTTTGCTCTCAAGAATAAAAACACTCTTTTTAAAAATTTACAGTGGGGACTGTGGTGGTGCACACTTTAACCCCAGAACTCAGGAAGCAGAGGCAGAGGCAAGTTGATCTCTGTGACTTTGAGGACAGCCTGGTTCACACAGAGTTCAAAGCCAGACAGGGCTACAGAGTGAGACCCATTTAAAAGAACAAGTGCGAGCATGAATGCTGGAGATACCTCTTCCAAAAGCACTGAAGTGAATGATATGCACACACAATCTATTATGTTCAGCCAAGATTGCTCAGGACAGTTCAGGACCACAGAGGCCAAGTGTCAAGGCAACAACACCAGAGACATGGAGGATGATGGGAGTTTTAAATCTATGTTTAGGTACAGAAGTGGATTATTATTAAGATAGAGGTGCACAACAAACTCACTTCCACATTAGAATTCCAAAAGAATTCAACCTCAAAGTACCCACTGTGTCACAGAAACCCAGGATACCCAAGCTGCAGAACTCTGGGATAACAGGCAGATAATCACAATACAGGTTATGACCCTCAGGGCCCAGCATGGCGTTTCGGTTCTCATAGTAGCCAACAGTATCTTGACTTCAAAGCACATCACTTGGCTTAATCGCTAGGAATAGGATCTGCTAGCTACAGCTAGATGTCATCAGCAGCCAGGCTCTTCTTCCTCTTGGGGAAAGGCAGGCTACAGAAAGTCAAGCCAGTGACTGTGTTGCTGTTAGTAACACTTAACTACGATCCAGGTTGTTCAGAATGGGTGTGGGGAGGGCTCACCTCCAGTGTTTCCAGGGCTGGGTTTTGCCACAACAGGTAGCTAAGCTGTGTGGGGACCAAGCTGCCTCTTGGCCTCAAAACTTACATCAAGAACAGGACGGACAGCAGTGCTGATGGTAGTGCAGAGACTTGAAAAGTTAGTATGAGTGAAAAAGGAGAGAGCGTGTGCAGAGATTTGGTGATGCAAAATGAATATATATTTTTTTTAACTTGGAGAGATGTATCACTCAATCCTGTAGCTTTGGTGAGAAAGTTTTCAGAGAGCAATGACAGCAAATAACGTTTTGCGTCAAAAGACATCCACATTGTTGGCAGACTTTGAGCTGTGTCCTTAGGAAACCCTCTTAGCTGGCTGTCTAAGGGAAACACTCTACTTCCCTCCCCGTGTCACCTGCTGTGAATGCTGCCTGGCCTGTGCTCCCTGTTCCTGAGCTGGGAGTGTGGGAAGGGGAAGAACTGAAGCTGAGGAAGCGAATGTGGACTGAGCTTGCAGTGTGCTTTGCAGAACTTGGAGGCAGAGTTCCCCAGGGAGCTCATAAAATGACAAAAAGGTCCTAACTGGACAGGCAAAGACAGTAATTAGTTACAACACCTAGAGAAAACCAGGTTTTAAAGCTTATATCACTGGAATTCTTTCATACTGTAAATTATATTTGACACATATAACTAATGTATCATTCACAAATGTGATCATCTGTGTTTCATCTTACATTTGTTTATTATGTGTATGTATGCATGTACGTGTGTTTGAGATGAGCTACTCTGGCCTGGAACTTCACAGTCTGTCTCAGCATCAGAAGTCTCTGTAGTCAGCACTGAGATTACAGATATGATCTGTACATATCCTGCTATACACAAAGCTTCTGTAAAGCAAAGGACATGGTCAACAAGACAAAATGACAGCCTACAGAATGGGAAAAAGATTTCACTAACCCCACATCAGACAGAGGTCTGATCTCCAAAATATACAAAGAACTCAAGAAATTGGTCATCAAAAGAACAAATAATCTAATAAAAAAAATGGAGTACAGAACTAAACAGAGAACTCTCAACAGAGGAATCTAAAATGGCTGAAAGACACTTAAGAAAATGTTCAATATCCTTAGCCATCAGAAAAATGTAAATCAAAACAACTCTGAGATTCCATCTTACACCTGTAAGAATGGCGAAGATCAAGAACACTAATGACAACTTACGCTGGAGAGGTTGTGGGGAAAAGGGAACACTTCTGCATTGCTGGTGGGAATGCAAGCTGGTACAGCCCCTTTGGATGTCAGTGTGGCAATTTCTCAGAAAATTAGGAAACAACCTTCCTCAAGACCCAATAATACCGCTTTTGGGTATATATCCAAAAGATGCTCAATTGTGCCACAAGGACATGTGCTCAACTATGTTCATAGCAGCTTTGTTTGTCTTGTTTGTCATAGGCAGAACCAGGAAACAGCCTAAATGCCCCTTGACCAAAGAATGGATAAGGAAAATGTGGTACATTTACACAATGGAGTACTACACAGAAGGAAAAAATAATGACATCTTGAATTTTGCAGGCAAATAGATGGATCTAGAAAACATCACTTTTGAGTGAGGTAACCCAGACCCAGAAAGACAATTATCATATGTACTCACTCATAAGTGGAGAAAGACAATTATCATATGTATTCACTCATAAGTGGTTTTTTAAACATAAAACAAAGAAAACCAGCCCACAAAACACAATCCCAGAGAACCTAGACAACAACCAGGACCTTAAAAGAGACACACATAGATCTAATCTACATGGGAAGTAGAAAAAGACAAGATCTTCTGAGTAAACTGGGAGCATGGGGACCTTGGTAGATGGTTGAAGGGGAAGGGAGAAGCAGGGAGGGGAGCAGAGAAAAATGTAGAGCTCAGTAAAAATCAATTAAAAAAATCAGAAAAGTACTAGAAATTTTGTTTTTATCAATGTTTGGTATAATTCTTTTCTCTAAAACTGTCCTCAAAATGTACAGAATAATTTTTGGATTCACATAAAAGTAACAATAAGTATAAAATAAGAATTTAAAACCTTGATAACAACCATGTCAGAATTCTAGAGTTAAAAGGATAAATGATGTGTGAGAGTTCTTTGTCAGATACAAAATGGGAGGTAAAAATAAAATCACCTTCTTTAATAAATAAATAAATAAAAGAATGCCCCCAAAAATAAATAAATAAAATCACTTCTATTATTAAGGAGAATAAGCAAAGAAAAAATTCACTAATATGATGCCACTTCCTTTAATAATTAAAATAATGTAAATAGTGGACTAAACAATAATTGGTTTCTTATGGGGATATACTATTATGTACTGTTATATTGTATTTGTTTTCACTCAAACACTAGACATTGTACCACTAGACATTGTACTTCACAAAAAAAATTCAAAACTACCAAATAATTATACCACTTTAAAATTCAAGGAAAAGCCAGTCACCTATGCCAACATGTGCTTCTTGTATCATGCTGACATCATTAGCACCATCACCAACAGCCAATGTTATCGGTTTCTCAGGTGAGATTTTTATCAGTCTTATTACCTGAAAAACACACAATGAATTTATTCTTTGTGATAAGCTTTCAACTCTCTTGTATTTGGGTAACATCTTTCATCTAAGTTTAATAAAGTAGTATGGTGGTGAAGACATCTGAGTTCATGCTGGACAGTAACACTAAAGTAAGGTTCACTCTTCAAGTGGCATGGAGATTAAGGGTTTAGGAATGTCTTTCACAAGTGTTATAACAAAACCCATGTTGTTTTGCATTTTAAGAAAATTTTTAAAATGCACTCTAAAATCTTTAATAACTTATTTAAATAAATAACTATATTTCACTGAAGTATCAAAACAAAATTCTCAAGAAGGAAAATACTCTAAACAAAGAAAAGACACCTATTTAGTCTGTTTGGCTAAGTCTCAAGATTTAAAAATACATTAACTCAAGTGAAATTAAAACATGCTTCTCTGGAATTTTTTAAAAATATTTTTAAACCTGTGTGTGTGGGAGTGCACATGAGATGGGGGTCAGAGAAGAACTTTGTGAAGTTCCAGGTAGTGAATCAAGGTCACTGGACTTATCTAATAGTACCTTTATCTACTGACCCTTGGTCTCAGATTCTTGGATGTGTTTTTAGAACAGCAGAGACATGTCTATCCTATTTTAATCTCCACAGACTGGACACACAAATACTATAAAAAATTCCATGAATCTAAATAAACCTGATGTCTCTGTGCAAAATAACCAGTTCTTATATTTGTATTGTTGAGGACAGTATAAGATATTCCTTTAAAAAGTTTATGAAATTATATTTATTTGTTTGTGTATGCATGTGTTCTACATGTATGAGCACACCAAGAGAAGTCAAAGAACAACTTATGGGAGTCTGTTCTCTCTTTCTTCCATGTAAGGCCTGGGACTGGAACTCAGGTAGTCAGGCTTAGCAGTAGGTGCCTTTACCCGATGAGTGAGCCATCTTGTTGGCCTACTAAGAACAGTTTTCGAAGGAAACAGTTCTAAACCTCAAAATATTCCAAACTGTAGGTTTACAAAAAAATTGTCTGAGTGGGTTTTCAGTTGAATTCTAGGCATCTGAAATTTAAACATTTCTTGCATACAGCTTTACATATTTGGATGACAAAAAATAGATTGGATTTTAATTTTCCTAATTTATAACTTGACAGCTGCCTCCTCTCCTTCCTCCCTCTGTCCCTCCTCTTCTTGATACTTTGTTAGCCAAGGCTGGCCTCAAACTTTCAATCCTCTTGCCTCAGCCTCTTGGTTGCAAGGATTTACAGGTGTGTGCCAGTATGCAGAGGTTGGTAACTTTTAACAAAGAATTGTCTTGTTTGGTCTTTCCTTCCTTCCTTTGGAAACTATTTTCAAGGAACTTTTTATGACATATACTTACTTTTGCTTTCTGTAAAGGTGCCATGCGGCAACACAACACAGCTGAGCAGTTTCTGCAAACTTCCATAAACAGCTTTTCATGCTCCCTGAGTGCAAGAGATAAGCTGGTCCCATCTACTACCAGCCCATGCTGAATCACATGGTCTTCTGTAATTCTAGAAAAGAATACAATTATATTCTCTATGTCATACTCTGAAGCCAGATTACTTACTTAATAAAATAAGACTCTTATTGCAAGACAGACAGTTCAACCAGATGAATAATTTGTGTATAAGTGAACAAACTCAGTTGTAGTATCTGAAAGGTGACGAAATACAGCTTTTGAACAAAATGAGAAATGCATACTAACGTTTATAACACATTTACCAAAAAAATATATAGAAGACCTAAAGAAAACACAATTAATGAGCGTTACATACTTGTATAGTATTATCAAAACTCTATCTTCTTTATGATTTTCAGTATTTCTAAGTAGACATTAACTTTTTAAATATTTTTACTATGTTTTATTTACTTATTGTTTATATATATATGTGTGTAGAGACAGAGGAAAACGTGAAAGAGATGGTTTCTCTTGAGTCGCTGAATTCACATAGTCAGGCTTGGTAACTGGTACATTTACCCACTGAGTCATCTCATTGGTACAACATAACTTTTAATAACCAAGAAATAATTTCAGAAGGTATATATAAATTATTTTGAGCAGTTAATTTCTCCCTGACAATATTCTTAACTACTAACTCACCACAAAGGTTCACAGGCTCTCAAAGTTGAAGGGTCTAGTAATAGGAATAAATAATATAAAATTGTAAGCCTAAAGAAATGGGAACAGACCATCATCAGCTTTGGATTAACTTTCAACAATTGTTTCCTTAGCTTGTGACCGGCAGCTCAATAGCTCTCAGCAGTTAGGGGGTTAGGCTTTTTTTTTTTTTTTTTTTTATGATAACCGCTCTGCCACTTAAAAGTGACCAAAGTTAACTTTTAGTAGAAGTTTGTACATGATTCTTAGCATCCATTCCATCCTATAAACTTTGAGCAAAAGCTCCTCTGTGACTTTACATTTTGCATGATTTCGTATCCTTCCCTGCTCTGGGAAACTGGTTGTGACAGAAAAAGCTGTTAAGTTGTTGCAAACACTATTAACTGTGAAGGAAATCTACAGGTCTATGTAAACTCAACTAAAACACTGTTATCAAAAATTGTAAATCTTAATTAAACTGCAGTATGTCTCTGAGCTTGACTTCTAAGTTATAAAAATTTATTTTTCCATGCCTAATGCTTACTTCTTGTTATAAAAGGGGGCCCCAAACACATCCCCATTGCCACAGTTTCAGAAGCTCACACTCAGGCTGTGGTCCTAGTTAACTGGTAAGCTTTTTGTGCCCTACAGCGACTTTTTTTTTCTTTTGGAATAAGTTTGTTTCTGGTTTCATAGACTTTGGTGGTAAGTACCCCATTTTTTTGAATGCCTCTGACCCAACAAAAGTAACAAGATTTCCAAGATGACATGCCTTCTATATTTAAGCAAAGATTTGTCTAGAAGTTATACTGGTGGCAATAAAGAATGTGAGTTCTCAGCTTCCTGCTGCCATGCTATCCTTGCAATTATGGACTCTTACCCTCTGGAACCATCAACCCAAATAGCCTTATTCTCCTATATGGCACCTTGGTCATGATGCTTCATCACAGCAATGGAAAAGTAAATAGGAGAATGGGCTGTTGCTATGAAGAACATGACTGTGTTGGATTTTTTTTTTTTTTGTTTGTTTGTTTGTTTTTGAAGGACTGTGAAAGACTTTGAAACTTGGGACTAGAAAAGCAGTTCAATGCTGTAATCAGAGCTCAGAAGGCCTTCCTAGCAGGAGCCTGGAAGATGATTCTGCTGAAAGCAAAGCAGACTAAGGGTTGAATCAAGAGGCTTCAGATGGAAGCAAGGACTTTAACAGCAACGTGGCTAGAGGATATACCTGTGTTATTTTGGCAAAGAAACTGGCTGCCTTCTGTCTGTGTCCTTAGAAAATATCTGTGAATAAATTAAAAAGTAATGGACTAATTTCTTAGGTGGGGGAAATGTCAAGACTGAATAGCATTGAATTTATAGTATGGTTATTAATGATAATACATCTACAGATCAACAATGAAAAAGAGTCAAGTGGGGTAGAAAAGAACACAAAATGCAGAGTTTGGAGAAAAACACTAGGAAGCTTAATGTTACAAAGACATTTAATGGAAAAGAGGCTACAGTTATTAAGGAGGTTAGTGTCATTAAGGAGAGGCGTGCTATGCACTGAAATAAAGAGAAGGTGCCCTCAGGGTGAGAACCCACCCAGGTAAGCTTCAAACTTATAAAAGATGCTTGAGGCACTTTCTGGTACTAAGAAGAAACTGAATAAGCAGCTGCTCTGTGATTCAAGGGAGTCAGGATCCATCTCAAGATGGCTTTGGAAGTTGGCTTTGTAGTGCATGTTGTTATGATTATGCTGGGAGTGGATGGAGCTTGTCTCTTAAAGGGACAGGGTACTGACAGGGAAGGCCAGCATAATTATAACATATGTAGTGTTAACTTTAGAGGCACAATGCATTCAAGAGTAGAGGAGTTATAGATTCTTTCTCCATGGTTTCTGAGAGGTCCTGGGCTCAGACAAAATGTGGCCTTACTGGCAAGAAGGCCCTGAGAGGACAAGAGAATATGAGACTTCACTGCATGAAGCTGTGGAAGCAAAACCAACATTGCATAGGAGACTCCCAGATGTTGGAGGTACCAGAGACATAGGATATCTGCCAAGAAGAGATGTCTAAGAGGAACAGAAGCAACCCCAGAGAGAGATTTATGTTGTATGTAGCAAAGCTGAAAGCGTAGAGCCATCTAAGTCCTTTGAGATCAGAACAGTGCTACAGGATTAGGAGCTTGCCCTGCTGTGTTTCAGTCTTGATTTGATCCAGCATTTCCTCGCTATGCCCCATTCTTCCCTTTGGGATGTAAACGTATATTCTGCGCCACGTGCTAGAAGTATGTAATTTGCTTTCTGAGTTTTATAGGGGCTTACAATTAAAAAGTTTACCTTGAGTTTCAGAAGAGACTGGACTTGTAAAGAGTTCAGACTATGAAAGACTATAGGGACTTTTGAAGTGGGACTAAATGTAGGTTGCATTGTTTATATGGAGATCAGGGAGTAGAATGTGGTAGTTTGAATACAAAATGTCCCCCAAAGGCTTGGGGATTAGCGAACTGGGTCCCCAGATAGTGGCCCTATTTGGGAAGGTTTAGGAGGTGCCGGCTTGCTCTATTAAGTACGTCATTGGAGACAAGTTAGAGAGGTAAATGATGTGCACCATCCCTGGTTTTCTCCTCCTCACGCCTGCAACAAAGGATAGTGCTTAGCTTCCTGCCTCGGCTGCCATGCTGTCCCCACCATTGTGGATTCAGCCTGTGACACTGTAATACCAAAATATCACCCCCTCTCTCTGCCCCGCCCCCCAAAAAAAGAAAGAAAAGAAAAAGAAATTTTATTTGAGAAAATCATCCTGGTATTGTCCTGAAAATTTTCACCCTGTTAGCTAGAAGGTACCCCGTAGGCCAGTACAGGAGAAAAGCCTTTAGTGGTATTGCCCACCTGTATGCTATAATACTGACATACCAGGGAAGACGTGTTCCTGTTAACATGACAGTTATGGGGGTAATCAACCACTTTTGGATTAGAGTTGAAGTCTTCTCCACAAGAAGGAATTCATGCCTTGTACTGTGAACCTGGCCAAAAGTCCTCCACTTGAGTGGGGATGGTGGGATTGACACAGATATAGTAAGCACTCAGTGGTCACCTCTTCTCAGCACTATGGCCACTATGAGTTATGAGTGTCTGCATTAACTAACTTCTGACCACTGCAGAGAGAAGTTTCTATTTTCAAGGTTGTATGTAGTGTTAATCTGAGGGTGTAAACAGATATTTAGAAGGCAGTTTGACCTCCCTAGCTGAGGACATTTGGCCCAGTTATATACCACTGTTAAGAGTAAGGCTGATCCAAGGCTCTCTCAGGGCCCTGTTGAAAGGACAAAGGGAGCCCTAGTTCTGTGTCCTTGCGCAGGGGCAGCCTTGGCAAGGTCCAGGCTGGGGCCAGGACCTTGCATGAGTTAAGGTTTTGTTTCCTGGGAACTTGGCTCCCTCCCCATAACCTGCAAGAGACTGGAGAGTTACCAATTCCATGGTCGCTGTATGCTCAATCTGTGACACACTTGAGAAATCCCGTGTTCATCCCTTTTATGCAAGTTTTCTGCTGACCCTGTCCCAGCCTCCACCACTCTCCTTCCCCCATGCCCACAAACTGTGTAGAAGAGGCTGCACTTCTTAGTAAACTTGCTTGGCATCAGACACAGCTTGTGAGAGACTTGACCTCAGCTTTCCTGTTCTCATCTCCTGGTCATCCCATTTGGAACCATTGCTGAAGAACAACCTGCTGGTCCAAGTCATATTGCTCCTACATTGATAGAGGACTTATTTCCCATACAAGTACACTACATGCTCATCCATGTTCATTGCTGCTCTATTCATAATAGCCAGGACATGGAAACAGCGTATATACCCATCAACTGATGAAAAATAATGAAAATGAGGTAACTATTTACAATGGAATCTTATTCATCTTTAAGAAAAATTAAATTTTCCTCTATTGAGAGTTCTCTTAAGATCTGTAACCCATTTTAAAATTGTATTGTTTGTTTGATATCTAGTTTCTTGAGTTATATATTTTGGATATTAGTTTCTATTGGTTGTGAAGTTGGTAAAAAAAATCTTCTCTCATTTTGTAAGGTGTCACTTTATCCAGTTAATGGTGTCCTTTGCCTTACAGAAGCTTTTCAATATTAATTGTTGCTCTCAGTGCCTGTGCTACCAGTGTTCTGTTCAAAAAGTTGTCTCCTGTGGCAATGCATTCAAGTCCTCCCCACTTTCTCTTCTAACAGGTTCAGTGTATCTAACTTATGTTAAGGTCTCTAATCCATACACACAAAATCAAAATTTAAAAGTGTTTTCAAATTACAAATTAAATTAAAAAAATTTTTTAGCTATGGGTTGATGAAAGCAAGAAGTGGCAAGCTGGCCTGCAGACACTGCCTGCCATCTTACCTCCTGGCAAGCTGCCTCAACTGTTCAGCACATCCACTGTCTGACTTCTGGTTGATAAGTTCGAGGATATTCATAGCTCTATGAAAATGTCCGCATGATAAGCTCACACTAACAGCTGTTTCATGTTTGTCTCCTGTAAGCACCCATACTTTGATACCAGCCATTCTCAATGCTTCAATAGTTTCTCGAACTTTATCTTGTAGTCTAAAAATAAAAAAAAAAAAAAAGGTAGAGAAAAATACTCCTGTAGCCTAGGTTAAGTATAAGCTACGCAGTACAGATAAAGTATACTCTTTATAGGAATGTTACAGTACATCAACATGACTGAGATTTTCTTTCATTATTCAGGAAACAAGAATAAATTACGAGCAGCCATCTAGTTAGAAGAAAACCAATAAGTTAAAATAGTCATCATAAACCCATCTTACTGAAAAGTGGTATTGGGAGGAGCCTGAATTGAGGCCTGGAGCATGCTAGGCAAGAAATGTGTCACTAGTAAGTCTAAAATTTTAAGCAAAGATTTCCTCTCACCCCACCCAGTAACAGAAGGAGTTAAGGAGAAATAAGCATGCAGCATACACAGAAGTCTAGGCATGACATCCTGAATTCAGGGCTTCTGCTTTTAGATGAGTCTCCTACAGTTTTCCGTTTAAACATCACACTCTAAAATCTAATGAAAATCCCCATTTAAAATATTAATACCTTTGTAGATACAGGGGACAGAAGAAAACAACGGGTTTAATTTATAAAAATCCATTTGACTCAATAAAATTAAATTTAAGAAGCTAAAATTGATACAGATGCTGGGTTAAAAAAAGTAAACAAGTTCCAAGGCATTTATATGCTAATAGAGGAGAAAAATGTTTAAACAAATAATTTAATATAGCATCAAAAAGTCGGCAATAAACAGAATGTTCATAAAGAAGAACATTTTCAATCATCTTAGTTGTCAGAAAAGGCCTTCTTGGATGAGGGCTTGTTTTTCTTTTTTTGGTTTTTCGAAACAGGGTTTCTCTGTGGCTTTGGAGCCTGTCCTGGGACTAGCTCTGTAGACCAGGCTGGTCTCAAACTCACAGAGATCCGCCTGCCTCTGCCTCCCAAGTGCTGGGATTAAAGGCGTGCGCCACCATCGCCCGGCTGAATGAGGGCTTGTTATGAGTACCTTATTCACAAATGCCCTGGAAAAGAAGAATCATCCAGGCAGAAGGCAAAGCCTTGCCAAGGAACAAAGGCATGAACACAACACTTTCAGTTCGAGGTATTCAGGAGCCCAACAGTCAGTGTGGCATTACTGAAGCATAGAGCAGATCGGGCAGCAGTGGGTGAGGATGGAGAGATATGTGAATGTTTGATGATGGCATGGCACACTGACTAAGGAATAGTAAAACGGAAGAATAATACAAGTGTTCCCTGAATCTATTTCAAAGATCTAATGATGGAATAAAACGGCATTATTCTGAGTAGAAAAATGAAAGCTTTAGTTTCTACTTTGTTACGGAATGGTAATTAACAGTATTTATTTTACTATATTAGAAGCATTTGACAAAACGTTACAAAATGCTACTGCCTACTTCTGATACTTGCCTGTCTTCCACTGCTGTAGCTCCTAGCAGTATCAGGTCTTTCTCAATGTACTGGAAGGCATCAGCCAGCTTCTCTTCCCGTCGCTGCAAAGCAGTCCTGGCCTCAAACAGGCGCCTATCTATATCGTCATACTCTTTAGCGGTAAACTGTCTATAAGCTATACATAGTGTCCGCAGTCCTTTCTAAAAGAAAAGAAGATAGGCACACACTTCTAAGAGCCAGATTCACAACCCGACTTTAAATACTGTCATTTTATCTTCACCTATGACCTGGAACTACACAAACTTAGGAATCTGTATTTGACTAGTGAAGTCTGTACTGACTACTTGATTACATGGGCCTCAAATTTTCTTAATCTCTGAAAATTAGTGCCTGAATCTAAATACTTCTCACTATTTATTTTCCTTAGAAAGGCCGAAAATAAATGTTCTAGCAATAAACTTGAAAACAGTGGATTTTAAAATACCATGACTATGTTTAGCAAATTTCTAAATAGTACCATTTCCTGATTTGTAAATAACTCTCATAATTAGCATTTCAGGCTCCATCAGATACTAACATGTACTAATTAATTCCCTCTACAGTAAGTATATGTGGATACTACTCTAAACAGTACAGTCTTTGCTGCTGGATATTACAGTGGATAGGTCACAGGCAACTGCAAACCAGCAACAGCAGTAGGTGAGTATGCAGCAGATACACAAGTCCAGGCATGAGACATCCTGAAGTTTTGCTTTTGGATGAGTCTCCTATAGGTTTTCCTCGTTAAATTAGAGTCATATTACATAAAATTAACTCTCTCAAATAGTGCTGCGCAGTGTTTTTAGTATACTTACAAAATTGTATGATCATTAGCGCTACTGGAATTTTCACCCCCAACAGACTCTCTATCGTTTCTCTTCCCTTTGTCTAGTAGCCTTTGGCAACCACTCACCTGATTTCTATGAATCTGCCTATCCTGGATGTGTATATAACTATAGTGTGCGGTCTCTCGTGGCTGGCTTCTCTAAGCAATCTTTTCAATGTCATCCTTGTTGCAGCATATATCAGATATCAGCACTTCCATTTCTCTTAATGACTAAATAACAATTCATTACAAGGCTCTATCATATTTTATCCATTCATCAGTTGGGCAGCTAGGCTTTTCCAAGCTTGGGCTATGAGCATCCATTCATTAGATCATGTGTGGATATATCTTTTTCTTTCTCTTTGGTGTACACCAGGTATAAACCTAGGTCAGATTTTAACTTCATTTTTATCTTTTGAAAAGTTGCCAAATTGTTCAGAGGCTAATGATTTATACCATGTGTACAATCTCTAGCTTCTCCACACCCCTGGAATAACTCCTATTCCTTTAGTAGGCCCCTTTCTGTCATTCTATTATGTCCTCAACCACTGAGCCATACCCTCACTTTTTTTTTCTTTAAAAGTCAGGATCTAATGATGTTGTCCCATTTGCTCTTGAATTTCTGGGCTCAAGCTTTTGTCTGGTTTCTGCCTTCATACCACTGGCCCAGGATAAACTGTGGGCAAGGGGAAGGAAGGAGAGGGAAGACAATGATGGGGAAAGGAAAAGAGAAAGAATAGAGACAAGCCATTCAGAGATGAAACCCAAGGATTTGTGCCTTACTCCAGGCACCAAATACTCAATTTTTAAGAATATAGTTTGAGTGGTACACACAGCCAGAAGTTCCTACAACATCAGGTTGGAAGACAGTTACACGTTACCACATTAAAAATCCGTTTCTACAACAAGAATAAAGAGTCAACATTTAATGCAAAAGAACTAAGAACTATAGAATTTCCAGAACATAGATGATCTATTAAAGAGACAAAACCTCAACCATTTCACAAATATATTTTTGAAGTTTGTTTTAATTTTTTTATGCTTAAATAACAGCTATCTTTACTTACCAAAGCAAATTCATCTACATGAATTCTGGTTTTTGCTATTTCTCCACCTATACATTTAGGGAGAATTGAAGATTCTGCTCCTTTAGCAAATAAAAGCTTCTCACCTGAAAGAAAAAAAAAAAATTTCCAGGAGAGAATTCTATAACGATATGTAAGCAATCAATGTTGTAAGTTGACAACAGGCTCCCTCATAAACATGTCTTCAGAATGGGCCTTACTTTTTATTCTTTGGTAATCAAGTTCTATATTAGGTAAACAAATATTCATAAAAGCTTAGATTGGTTACCTGAAGGTGCTTGAACAATTACACTCATTCTCCTACGATCTGAATCAAATTCCAGAATATGAAGCAATTTGTACCTAAAAATTAAGAAAGATAATCCTTAATTTTTAGAGTAATAATGTGACCATTTGGAAAGAATAAAAGATAAAATACAAGTTTAAAGTAAACTAGAACCGCATTTTCATGAGGATAGGCTCTAAATAGTCAATAATAGTACGAGACACGAGGGAGATGACATCATGTACTCAACAACTAACATCTACTGCACAGACTTTGGGTAATTAAATCCCACAGAAGCCAAGATGAAGACTACTAGAGAGATTAATATTCAAGAAGCTGCTGTGCAGCAGAGAAGAACTGGGACCCACATCTGCCCGGGTGACTGACTCGCCATCATTTCCTGTCCTAACACATCTCACCAGGTCTCCCTTTATGCAGTCTTTCAAGTTTGTCAGCAATGATTCTGAACTTGGGCAGGTGTGAGGATGGAGGTCAGGCAGCAAATGCCTCTTTAGGGAACTGAGGGAAAACTTATGAGGATAATTGAGTGAGGCTTGACAATTTTTCCAGGAGAGAATTCTATAATGATATGTAAGCAATCAAAGTTCTAAGTTGACAACAGGTTCCCTCATGAAAGTAGCTTCAGAATGGGCCTGACTTCTTTAGTGTGAAAAAGCAGAGCAAGGACTGAGGTACACAAGCAAGGGGCATGGGCTAACTTATCAGAGTAGAAAGAGGATGAGTAGACTGGTGTTCTGAATGCTTGAGCATAAGTTCATAGGCAGCACAAGGGAACTGGGGTGTGCTAGGGTGCAGCTTTATGGCACAGTGTTTGCTTAACATTCCTGAAACACTGGTTTTGATCCCCAGTATTACAAAAACAGGGATAAAAAAAAGCTTTCTTCATCCAATGACCTATGGAATCTCAACCTCAAGAGTGTTTAAATATATAAGCAAATTCAGTAAACTAAAGTACAGTATACGATTGTAATTGTGATGAGATAGAATATAATAATGCCATTATTCTAGAGAAGTGGTTAGCAAGTGTTTTAGTAGAGAATCAGATAACTTTAGACTTTACAGGCCATATGCATCTCTCTGCTGTATATTAGGACTTATTCTTGCATGCAAGGCAAACTATATCCCCACCTTTCTTTTCCTTTCTCAATTTTGAGATAGGGTTTTACCAGATTTCCTGGGCTAGTTTCACTCTGTGGCCTATGCAGGTCTTTAACTTGTGACCATCTGGCCATAGCCTCCATTCTACCAGAGTCATTTTATTCTTTCTCCTTCTTTCTCTTATTGGAAGACACAAGTTTCTGTCTTGCCCAGTTCCACAGCCATTCAGTCCCAACAAAACATACAGAGGCTTATATTAATTATAAACTGTATGGCCTATTAGCTCAGGCTTATTATTTTTTTCCTTTTTGTTTGTTCTGAGACAGGGTTTCTCTGGAGCCTGTCCTGGAACTAGCTCTTGTAGACTAGGCTGGCCTCGAACTCACAGAGATCCACCTACCTCTGCCTCTGCCTCCTGAGTTCTGGGATTAAAGGCTGCACTACCTCTGCTTGGCTCAGATAATTCTTATCTATGCTTAGCTATGTGGCTTGGTACCTTACTCAGTATGGCATTTTCATCTTGTTTCACTGTGTCTGGATGGTAAAGTCTGCATCTGGGAAGAGTCCTTCCTCTTCCCAGAATTCTCCTTAGTCTTGTTATCCCTCTTATACTTTCTGCCTGGCTACTGACCAATCAGTATTTTATTAAACCAATACAATTGAAAAATCTTTACAGGGTAAAAGGGCTTTATCCCACACCCTTACTCTCTTTTTCTTTCTTAAACAACTCTAAATGCAATAGATCATAGGCTATCCAAAAACAGACTGGAGGACAAAACTGGCCTATAGGCCATAATTTGCTGATTCCTATCCTATAGTTATTATGGACTATAACATATTTGAAAGAATTTACCTTTCCAGTCTTCCAAGTACTTTAACCTCCATACTTTCTTCAGAAATGCCTATAAATATGATACCAGCTCTAGGAATAAGAGGAACAAAGAAATTATAATACTTAAAGGAAAATATTTCATATTTTACATTATACCTTTATAATTTGGCTTGAATGACGGTACTTGAACTGAAAGTTTAAGGAGTATTTATGGTACTGCCTTTGAATAATAGGACACTATTCTTAAGAACATGACAGGTCAGACTATATCCAAAATAATGCAAAGTAATTTTACAAGTTTTTCAAGTAGAATTCATATTAAATACTTTTTAAAAGATCATTTAAAAAAACCTTAAATTTACATTTGAGAACTTTATATGAGATCTCTAATTTTCTAGCATTTATTTCAAGAGTATTCTTGGAGGATCAGAAAAATCAAGCTCAGTCACCTTGCTGCAGCTTCCACTAGAGCCTTTTCATCTGGTGAAGATGCATAGTACTCCAGCTGTGCAGGTGCTAGGTTGGACTGCCAGGGACCATCTCCAATGCCATCAGTTTGAACACTGCTGATCTGTACAGTATGGCAAAGACTGACTGCTTTAAAGAAGAGGTCATGTTCTTTCATCTGCAGAAACAGAACATTCATGACCAAAGCACATTTCCAACACCTTATAGGAAACCAGACATAAAACCTTGTGAGCTAAAACAAGAGTGCAAAGACCTGGAATGCCTGAGTAAGAGCTGCAAATTTTGCATTTCAATCTCATACTGTTTTAGGAGCCCTTGGTTAAGTGCATATTTTTAGACAGCCTACACAAACTGCAAGCTAAGGAGACGATGTCCTTGTGAAAAAGTAAGGCCTTAGGAAGAAAAAAAATACATTTTCCCCCTCATTTTACTTCTAGGTAGTAATAACATTTACTAACTAGTGAGCTAAGGCATTGAAGATGCTCAATAATGACAAACTAAACTGGGCTATAACTACGGTCTCAGAATAGTGTTTTGTGGTACTAAATCAAGACATCTATTTCAAATACATGCTTCTTGTCCATGGCAGGCCCAGTCGCTCACATTCTCACTCTCAGTTACTGCTCCAGTGCCATGCCTGACAGCCTGCTGCCACATTCCCCATCAGGATATTCATGGACCAACTCTGAAACTATAAACAAGCCTCCAGTTAAATGATTTCTCTCATAAGCTGCCTTGGTCATGGTATCTGTTCACAGCAATAGAACAGTAACTAAGACACTCAGCATGCTGACCCTCTCTAAATGTCCTGTAGGTCTGTTGCAATATGGGAGTCAGAGGTGGAGAAGCCAGCTTCATCTTGCTCAGCACCCACCAGTTTTCCCTTTCTTTTAATTTATTCAACTCCTGCTTAAGATACATATGTATATGTATGTGTACATGCTTGTGGTGTGGGAGGTCCTTCTGTCTATGTGTTACTTTTATTGGTTAATGAATAAAGAAACTGTCTTGGCCTGGGGGGGGGGGGGCAAATACAAGCTTCTTGCTTCACTGATAGAAATTTCCCGTGTCCACCTATTGAAGAGAATTAATTCATATAAAACCCATAATTACTAATTTGAAAGTTGCTTACTAGTTCAGTTTCACTTTCAGGACTGGTTCTAAAAGAAGAACTGGTTGTGACATGTGTTGAGTTGTTGAGATGAGATAAACTACCAAGGTAAGATAAGCTTTCTTCTGCAGAGTCTGGGGTTGGTCCTTCAGGTACAAGTTTACCATTGACTTCTTGGTATTTCATGCCATTAATTGAACATTCTCGAAACTGCATTTCATTTTCTGTCAGTGTCCCAGTTTTATCTGTAAACACATATTCCACCTAGAGAAAGAGAACAAAAAAAACCCTTTGTGGTCATGGGTCAGTGTTGAACAAGAAAACTTTCCTGTTTTCTAAAGTCTAGTTTATTAACATCAATATACCAAAGCCAAGATTCTTACAATCTAAGAAGTTATTATTGACATAAAAATAAAACAAATGAAAATATTTAAAATTTATACATACTTTTTGATATATGTTGATTTGCAGAGGTGACTGAGAATAAGGTTGAGAATTTCACATCTATCTCTCGGTTGAGCTACATTTAAAATATTATGACTTGACACTTACACTGAAGTAAGGGTAGAAGGAATGCTTACTAACCTAGACAATAAACAGAGGCCAGGAGAGATGGTATAAAAACAGGAAAGAAAATAATGACAGCAACACAAAATGTTAGGGATGAGAAGTAGTTTATAAAGAACAAAGGAAGTTAACACTGAGGACAGGAAACAAATAGAGTGAAAAAGATAAATGTTAAAAATGATGTGTTTCAAAAGGAATGCAAGACATTATATTACTGCTCTTGGGGGCTGATCCACGGATATGAACTCTGAATGAGAAGCATACAACAGTGAAGTCTTGACAGCAAACTAGTGGTGAGGATTTGATTACTATAATGATGGGAGAAAAGTCTTTTAAAAAGAGAAACAGTGAAGCTGGAGAGAAGAACAACTGCTGCTCCAACAAGAAGAGCGACACCCATGCATGACAGCAACCCCAGCATTGAGGGAAGCAGGGAAGATCGATAGGGCTTGCTGACTGCCAACCAGCTGAAAAGTCCAAGCTCTAGGTTCATGGGGAAAGGCTTGTCTCAAAAGGAACAAAGTGGAGATTGATAGGGGAGGACCCTCTCTAGCCTCCATATGTACACACAGAGAAATGCACCCTCAATCTCAATCTCTCTCTCTCTCTCTCTCTCTCACACACACACACACACACACATTCAAAACAAAAATAAAAATACAAATAAAAAGTAGAAAGAGGCAGCCATCACAAGAAAACAAAAGCAAAGCAAACTTCAGACCATTATTTCTCATGAATATATATGCACATACATTTTCAGAATGTATAAATAGGATTATATAGTAATATCATACTGAGTGATTTCTTCCTATCAGCAGAGATATAAGACAAGGCTGTCTGTTCTCATATGTTTTATTCAACATTGTACTAAAATTTCTAGTCAGGAAAAAGAAGTGAGTTATCTGATTGGGGAAAAAGAGACAAAGTTATCTCCATTTGCATATCAAATAAACTTACATATACATCATCCAAAGGAATTTACTTTACAAATATCTATTAGCACTAATAAATAAGTTTGATGAGATTCCAGGATAAAAGATCACAGTGCAAAATCAAAGAATTAAAGTGAGAAAATTGTTTAAACCAAGAAATAAAGAGTAATAAGAAACTGTACTTTAATGTCTATACTGTTGGGGACAATAAAGGTAACTACAATATTTGAGACATAGGAAATGTCTACTACATAAAATAATTTATTGCACATAGGCCACTATCAGTCTACATATATAATTTTAGCTACAGGGAAGGCTGAGACAGGAAAATCATTTGGCTCAGGTTTGTTTGTTAGTTTTGAGAAAGGGTCTCACTATGAAACTCTGGTTGTTTTAGAACTCATTATGGAGAACAGGCTGCCCTCGAACTCACAGAGATCCTCCTGCCTCTGCCTTGATTAAAGGTAGTGTCAGATGAGCTCAGAAGTTTAAACATAGATTGGGCATCAAGTGGGGCCCCATCTCAAAAAGAAAACAAAAAAGGCAAACCCAAATTATACATGCGGACAGGGCAGGTAGATCCTAGATTAAGTGACACCTTTGATTACAGAGAAGGGAAAAAATATATTTATGAAGACTTGTTTGAAGTACACAAAACTAAGCAGGGAAAGAAACAGCAATTAACTCCAGAGGAAATAAAATACATAAAGAAAACATAATTATAGTACTACAAGGAAAAACTAGGAAGAAAGGTGTTTGGAAACAATATTATGAGTCATAATGTAAATATTTATTGGATGTCAAATTGTAATAACACTAGAGTAGGCAAAGTGGGCAAGGTTTTGGATATGTGTACAAAACGGTAAAGTAATAGTTTCCCCCTGTTGTCCCTCCCCTCTTAAAAGATTCATTCATTCATTCATTCATTCATTCATTTATTTATTTATTTATTTATTTATTTATTTATTTTTGAGATAGGGTTCCCCTGTGCAACTGTCCTGGCACTCGCTCTGTAGACCAGGCTGGCCTCAAACTCACAGAGATCGACCTGCCTCTGCCTCCCGAGTGCTGGGATTAAAGATGTGCACCACAACTGCCTGGCAACTTAATTTTTTTAATGATGCATATGCATGAGAGTGTGTGTGTGGGGATATTGCACACGACTGCAGGTGCTTGTAGAGGTCAAGGGCATTGCATCTCCTGGAGCTGGAGTTAGCAGTATAGTTGTGAATCTGAACTTACACCCAATATGAGTGCTAGGAGCTGAACTTCCCTAAAACTGTGTGCTCTTGACAGCTAAATCATCTCTCTAGTCCCAGCTATAGCTTTATATTCTATAATTGATGCCTAAAAATTTTAAATCATGATAAAATATCATATAGACACATACTGGTAAATAGTGGAAGAAAGACGTTAGGACATAAAGTGGGAATAAAAATTAGCAGGAGGAAAGTAAAAGGTGTTTTGGCCTAAGTTTTATAGTATATTCTATTATATCAGTATCTTTACATATAATTTTCTGAGAGAAACAAAATATCAGGATCATCTTCACCTGTCCAAGCTCTTCATTCAGGTCAGAAGTATTGACTTGAGCTTTCTGATCTGACTCTTCATGGTATAGATCAAGATCCCAGCCAATAAAAAACGATCCAAGAAATTTCTGCATCTCAACAGTCACATACAAAGAAATTGGAATGATGAAATTGTAGAGTACCAAAAAAGCAAGGAAATCAGAAATAAATCTTAGAATCTAGAAAAAAGAGAAATGATTATTAGATAACATACATGAGAATTATCAGAAGGTTCTTATCTAAGTAAACTATCAACTATTATTCTGAGGTAAACTAATAAGAAATTCCTTGTAAGTTGTTTTAATATTGCATTTCCTCTGTTTACTTATATTACTGGTTAAGGTAAAGGTTAAATTTCCACAGCACAATTTGTTTCATTTTGGAAGTTACCTGGCATGATGTAAACACCAAATATCATTTACTCTGTGCAGTGCGCTAGCCATCCTACCATGACTCTTCAAAGATCATGGGTGACTAAAATGTGAGTGTAACCTAGACACATGGGGACATAATTCCTCAGGAGAATTGTTAAAAAATAGAAACTGAAGAACACATACTACACAGACACTAGCACAGCAGAGCTGCCTTTCAATATGTCCTCTGTTGAATATACATGGTACTGGTAACAAGAACCTATACTGATCTGCTTTGTTGTCTCCTGGATCAAGATGTTTTCTAATATGTCCATATTAATTTAAATGGAAATTTAAAGAATGATTATTTACCAAAATTGCAGGTTTAATTCTCTTGGTACATCAAGACTGTTATGACTTCTTCAATTATTCAAACATGAATGAAAACAAATATATTCTTTAATTCATTTATATGGTACAGTAAATGATTTCTAAAGCCCTGAATTTGTAATACCGAAGTGGAATGCACATATAAATTTTTGTGATCTAATTATTCAAGCCATACTACTAGAACACACAAAAAGTTTAGGCCTTAAACTAGGGAAAGTACACCACTGCTAACATGCTGATTGCTCTTCTGCAAAAGCATCCTGTCAATACCAATGCTGTGATGAGATCACTGTGGTCTTTCCCATCTAAGCATCAGTAGTCCCCAAAGAGTTTCCTCAAAGTTGAATTATGAATAACACATAATACCTTACTACTGTTTCTTTGATGTTCTGTTTTTTGGTTATACCAAGGTTCATCCCATTTTTCTTCTGCTTGCCAGGTATATTTCAAGATAGTACTGATGATGGCCTCAGAAATAAGGATTATTAGATAAATTATTAAAAATGTGTTCATTGATCTAAAGAAAAAGAATAAAAACATATCAATATATCTTATGTTCATATGCTTACAAATTAATATTTGTATTGAATATATAAGATTTTATTATAGCTGTTTTAAAGGACAGCCTTTATTTTTTTGTAATGACCATTAAATAAAACATAATTACCAGAAAAACCCAGTTGTAAAGCCTATAAGTCATAACAGCACAGCAAGACCTATCCAGAAGTACCATGGCGATACTTCTATCTTGGGGGTTACCAGCAAGTATCTAATTGGACCTCAGACCTGCTCAGCAAGAGGGAATTCATATCTGGTACTGTAAACATTGCCGTCTGTAGCTAGTGAGGTCATGAGCCCTAGAGAAGAACCTACTACTATCATTTTCGTAAGCCAGTGTAATTTCCAGCTTCATTCTAAATACCTATCCTTACATGCAAAGATAAGTGTAGTTCTCAGCTCTCATTAAAGAAGCTTCCTCTGGCAGCAGAAGTCTACAACTGATCAAATGCTAAGAACAACTGACCATGAGATAGCCAGCTCCAAGTGGTACACCTACAATACAACTCCTACATCTAAAGCTCAAGAAACATTGCAGAAGGTAGAAAATAATTTAAGAGCCAGAGGATCAGGGCACCGGCTGTGAGATGGTGTTAGTTGACAGTTTACTTTGAGACTGAAATAGTCCATACTGCAAGGAAGCTCCTTAGGCAGGAAAGTAAACAACTCAGAAGACTTGAGAAAGTCCCTGAATCTGCCCAGACTCACTAGGCCTCTCCCTGCCAAAGTAAGCATTAAATGCTGAGAGTCCTTCTCAGAAGAGTAGAGCTGAGCTACAAAGAAGACTCTCAGATAAGACTAGCTGCCTACAAGTTCAGACCAAATGAGTCACTTGGAAAGAGCACTTTTCAACCCGATGAGCTCTCGGCATGCTATGCAGTGTGCTTCAGGTTTCCAGGTGGAAGCTGTCACCTATGCTGGGAAAGGCTTTGGTGATGCAGCGTTGAGTCTTTTCTGCTCCTATAAGTAACCCCAATAAAACTCATTGGCTCACCAAGTTGGATTTTGCTGGTTTTTGTACTTTGGTCTGTTGTGGGTTCCCTATCTGGGATGAGTAGACATGTGTGCTATATTTTCCCAGGAAAAGTTTTGTCACACCAAAGATGGTGTCTTCTATATGACAGGGACCTACATCCATGAAATCTTAACAATATGGTTGCCTAAGCAAGATCTGAACAATGACAATACCAGTTGATATGTCAATATGGATGGGGAAACCTCACAAGGTCCCTCTCCTAGATAAAGAGCTATAAACAATTAATTATTGCCTGTGAAAAGAGGAAGAATCAGTCTTCTCTGGAGATGTGTCCCATTATATGCTATCCAATCTGAAGTAGTCAGCCCTAAACAGTAAGTTTTCTTAGCAAGTTGTATAAAAAAGACATTAAAATGTCTTTTAGGACATTATCTCAGGTCAAACTGGGATTCTTGGCTCTGACACTAAAAATAATTCAGGACTAGCCAGTATAAAAGTAGATCTGGTGATTTTATTAAAGATATTTATTAAAGACTTTACTAAAGCTAGACTTTAAACACAAGGGTGAAGACAAGAGTGTCCAGAAAGAAAGTCTTAGTATTATTTAATTTTCACTGTATATTAGTTTTAATTTCCAGTTGAACTAGAAAGTCTAAAGGAGGAAGAATGGTATCTCAAAAAACCTAACACATAACAGATGCACACTTTATATATATTTCTAGACTCAGTTTTCTCAAGCAGAAATCTGTTAATAGTTTCAAAGAATCTTATGGTTCACAAGTGAGACTTTGGAATAGAAACAACTATAATACTAATACCATTGTGAATTTTAATTAATAATAAAACCCTGACAAATTCCCATTATGATGATATTAACTCATTAATACTCCCTCCTCTGTGTCTATTACTATAACAAGCTTTCTATGTCATATTTCATATATCAAATGGACTCTTTCAGGTTTTGGTCTAGTCTTGTATACAGGTGATGCTCACCTGTGCATTGCTACAAGGCTGAGTAGTACTGCTGGAGCATACAGATTCGACTTTAAATTTAAAGTCTTAAATTTAAAAACAAATTTGTTATGAAGAGACATTTTATCACCAAAAACTTCAGAATACTACAATTATAGCATCTGATACATCTGCAAACTGATCTCTACACGTAAGGCTCAGGGAACATTGAACAAGGGTAAGAAAGTTCTAAGAGCCGTGGGACCAGGATGTCTGCTGCTAGATAGTCGCCCCAACACACGACAGGAAAAATGTGAACTCTCAACAATATGCTGCCTGAACAAGACTACATAAGAACATCAGCTGACATTCCAACATGGATGAGGAAAGTTCCACATTGTTCTTCTCCTAGGTGAAGAGTTAGAGCTGGTCAACGGTTGTTGGGAGGGGAAAATCAGTTTCTTATAGAGATGGGCTCCCATATAGGTTATCCAATCCCAAATGGTCAGCCCCACACACATGTACATATGGGTGACACCAAATGAACTCAATAGGTAAATATATATACGTATAATTAAAGAAGATGCGTTCTCAATAATGAATCTTCATGTGCACCACATAGCTTCAACAACGGTCAACATGCTACCATTCTCAGTCCACTTACACTTTCTTCCACTCCAATTACCCATTTAATATTTTGGTGGTTCTTTTATTACATGAATAAATTTTTAAAGAACTTCTTGATTTAATGTTTGAAACTGTAGACTCACAGAAAGCTGTAAAATCAGTACAAAGAGTTTCATCAACTCTGAGTCCGTATTTTTTCCACCTCCATGACTTTGCAGAGAAGCTAGGTAATAAGGAGTACTCTAAGAGGGACACATGGATTGCTCCGGGAAAGGAAAATAGATGAGATCTCCTGGAAAAACTGGGGCAAGAGAGATGCAACTATGAAGGAACAGGATGATGGTGTTGGGGGAGGGACGGAAAGGGAGTAATGAAAGAGATACCTTGATAGAGGGAGCCATTATGGACTTAGGGAGAAACTTGGCATTAGGAAAATTCCAAAGAATTCACAAGAATGACCCCATCTAAGAGTCCTAGCAATAGTGGAGAGGGTACCTCATCTGACCTTCCCCTGTAATCAGATAGGTGACTACCCTAACTGTCACCACAGAACCTTCATCCAGTAACTCATGGAAGTAGCTACAGAGATCCACAGTCAAGCACCAGGCTGTGCTCTGGAGTCCAGTCAAAGAGAGGGAGGGGCGATTTTATTAGTGGGAGGGTGGTAGTCAAGATCATGACAGGGAAACCCACAGAGACAGCTGACCCGAGCTTGTAGGAGCTCAGGGATTCTAGACCGATAGCTGGGGAGCCTGCATAGGACCAAACTAGGTTCTCTGCATGTGGACAACAGTTGTGTAGCCTGCTATGTTTGCGGGACCCCTGGCAGTGGGACCAGATCCATCCCTGGTGCATGAGCTGGCTTTTTAAAAGCACTTCCTTTTATGGTGCCTTGCTCAGCCTTGATGCAGGAGGAAGGAGCTTGGTCCTGCCTCAACTGAATGTGCCAGGCTTTGTTGACTTCCACTGGGAGGCCTTACCCTTTCTGAGAAGTGGATAGGGTCTGGGTTAAGAGGAGGTAGGAGGGGAAGGGAGGAGGGGAAGGAGAAGGAACTGTATTTGGTATGTAAAATGAATAAAAAATTTTTTTTAAAAAGATAAAAAAGGAGTGAAGATAGGGATCAAACCCAGTCTTATGTTATGCAACATACTCTACCACTGAGCTACGCCCCCAATTCAATGGTGGCATCTTATTCAGCTGTAGCATATCAGAACCAGAGACATTACAGGGAATTAGATTTGATTAAGATTCATATTTACAAAACCTCATCTTACTAGTGTAAAAGTAATCCCACTTACAGATTAACTGCCAATATGAAGAATTGTTCCATCGTCACTTTTAAAAATGCATTTATCTAAGGACCAGCATGGTAGCACATGCCTTTAACTCCAGCACTTGAAGGCAGAGGCAGGTGAATTTTTGTGAGTTCAAGATCAGCCTAGTCTGCAGAGTGAGTTCCAGGTTGTTGTAGAACATTACATTTTAAGGTGTGTTACTTTTGTTTATGCTCTGGAACATTTGTTTAATGATGCAAAGATGAGCTTGATTTAAAAAAAAAAAATTTACCTGTGGACAGGAGGCTGCATCAGCAACTAGCTGACAGGAAGTGGTAGGGAGGAGCCAGGCAGAGAAGGGTTTTTAAGGAGGGGTGAGGAGAAGCATGAGAGGCTTTTGGAGAGACACAAGAAGGAGAGAGGTGAGCTACTTGCTATTCAGCTTCTCTGAGGAACAGAATTCCACCTCAAACCTTGAATTTTCAGTTCTTTAGAGGAACAGAGATTTAGATAAGTTCCCTTCATAGCTTTGAAAGAGTTGGTGCCTGAGTTCAGGAACAGAATTCCCTCAAGCTGAGGCCCTCTAGGCCCAACCACTGCTGATAACAGCGGAGATGCAGTTGCTGATTCGAACAGCCATGGATTAAAGGGCAGCAACAGGTCATATAGGGCTACATAGACAGACTCTGCCTCAAAAAAATAAACAAAATTTAGAATTTCTATTTTATTGTATGAGTGTTTTGCATGCATATTATGTATGCATACCACATGTGTGACTGGTGCTTGTGGAGGTTAGAAGAGGTCAGATCCCCTAGAACTGGAGCTATATAGATGGTTGTGAGCCATAATGTGGGTGCCAGGAACCAAACCCAAGTCTTCTGCAAGATCAACAAGCGTTCTTAACCACTAAGTAACTCTCCAGCTTCCATCACTCTTTATATTGACTCACCCCATATCGAATCTGTCCCTTGGTAGCAATAATCTTTCACCCAACCTATACAGTTTGATAATTTTGAAAATGTTCCACAACTGGAAACATAGTATACAATCTTTGAATTTGACTTTTTTACCAAATGTAACTATTTTTGCAGCCTGTTCTGTCTGAGCATATACTATAAATCCTTTTTCTTGCTGAACAGTGCTCTATGACATAGCTGCACCAGATTTTCCTGTTCAACTATTACCCATGTATGCACAATGGGCTGTTTTCCAGATTTTTGCTGTTATAAATAAAGCTGTTAAATGAAACTGCCAAATTATCTCCCAAATGGGAATGTTATCATCTGACATTCTTCACAATAATGTGTGAGATCGAGTTCCTCTGCCTCCTCCTAGCACGTACTATTACTACTCTTTTAACCTTGTTCCTCCAACAGTGGGCTAACCTCACTGCAGTTGTGATATGATATTCTCCTAACAATGGTGATGACTGAGCATCTGTCTGCTCACCTGAGACCTACAACTCCTTTTATGAAATGTGATTCATGTTTTTGATCACAGCTTCCTAAATGTTTGTGTTACTGTTTGGTTGAAATGTGAGCTTTGCAAGCATTTCCCCCACTCTGTAACTTGTCTCCATACTTTAAAGATGGTTTGAGAACATTTTTAATATAGATGAGAACATTTTTAATTTAAGTAAAATTTAATTTATTAATCTTTTTATTTAGGAGTTATGCTTTTTTGCCTGCCTAACAATCATTTGTCTAGAGTCTGGATCCTGACTTCTTCTAAAAGTCGTTACAATTCTGTTTCATATGTATTCAATCATCATTATTTTTGGATGCTGAAGACTGAGCCCATGGCCTGGTGCATGCTTTCATATTGGCAAAAGCTCTCTACTCCCTCACCTTTATTAAAAAGTTCCTGCTGGGTATTAGAAATAATGGGTCCATAGCTTTTCATGTTCTTCAGAAGAGTGTTGACTTTTTGTTCTAGTGGGCAGTTGACTTTAAGCACCTAACATCACCGCAATTGGTCAAAGTAAAATCCTCTCTCTCAGCATTCTTTGGGTTCTACTGTTTGTTTCTTGCCAATTTGCACCTACAGAGTTTTATCAGCCATACAGGAAAATTTGGGCAGTTTTTATGTACACGCTTTCAGGCCCAGCCCATTACTTTAGATGCTGGCTTACATATTTTCCCTTAGCTTTCTAGGTTCTCTTCTAGCTTTAAACTGTGTCCTCTGATATTTCAACTCAGTAAAGAAATAATACTTTCCCCATCTTATTTCTTCAACTACCCTCTATCCTTCCTCCTCCATTTGTTTTCAGGATTGGATTCACTGCCAGGTTTGACATGCTTTTGGTCACTTGCCTCAACTCATGATCTTCCTGTCTGCCTTCCAAGTATTAGGATTACTGGAGTGGCCTCACCATGCATGGTCTGACATTATTTATGTACTTGGGTGTGTGTGCCTGTATGCGGGTTTGCATGCCTACAAAGACAGGTGTGTTTTATGTAGAAGCTTAAGGTTGTTATCTTGTTTTGCCTTATATTTTGAGACAGGATTCCACACTAAACCCAGAGTTCACTATTTTTCCTACAATGGCTGACTGGCAAGCCTCTGGGATCTTCCTGTCTCCACATAGCAGCAGGTTACAGGTACATACTACCACGGCCAGCTTTCTAAGAGGGCGGTGATAAGGATCGGAACTCAGGTCCTAATGCTTGTACAGTAAGTATTTTACTCAGAGCTACCTACATGCCTCATACCCTGCACTAATTTTAGTCATATTTTAACACTTACAGTCAATGCTAAGTATATACAAAACCAGAAGATATCATCTTTATCCAAAAGAATATCACTTTGCTTATGTAATATGAAATGACCTTTTAAATGACTTATTTTTAATTTTATGTGCATGAGTGTTTTGCTTGCATGTGAATAACTGCACTGTGTATATACCTAATGCCCACGAAGATACCTTGGAACTGGAGTTACAAATGGTTGTGAGCCACCATGTGGGTGCTGGGAACTAAACCTGGGTCCTCTCTAAGAGCAACAGTGCTCTTAACCACTGAGTCATCTCTGTAGCTCCTGAAATATCTATTTTTATATATGTTACACATATATGAGTAAGATATACATAAAATTATGTGGAAAGGGTTTTCTTACTTTTCTACTGCAGATCGTTTCTGTGACTTGCTCTTGTAGTTTAATGCCATCTTCGTTTCCATTCCGGTGTACACAGCCACACCTATAAAATAAAACTGCTATTTTAAATGTACTTGCTAGCATAAAAGCTTCAGTGAAAAAGCACTGCCTGAGAGTTTGTATAACTTGAATTTTTCTTGAGTCTTTTACAGTTTTTCCAGACCTGCTAAGTCTAAAATTTTGCTGATCTAGACATTCAACCTCCATGGAGTCTCATTACTCAGTTGCAACAGAGTTGAGACGAACGGAAGAAAGGGGTGGGAATAACAGATGACCACTGCATATGACGCTAGGGATGCTAATAACAGTAAAACCCTCCTGTTAAACTGGAAAATATGGATTGGGCTAAAAACCCAGAATGCCAGAATCTGGAGTCTACATGTCATTCCATAAGTACTGAAGAATAATATTCATGTCTTTCAGAGTAAATGAAGTAAGCGCAAAGAACTGCTATGTGAGACCCTGAGACGAGAGCACATGGTCTTAATAGTGGGACTAACTGCTGAATGAAACTAATTAGGCAAGACCAAACTTTAAATGTTCCTTCAAATTCCTACACTGAAGATTAAAGAAACAGAATAGGACAGACCAACTGTGCCTTTTTAGTAAATATTTGACTTAGAATTTTTAAAATAAAAATTATTCTTTAAATTCAGGGGTAATAACTAAAATGAAAAAAAAAAGACACTAAAACCATGCAATTTGGGAAAAAAAAAACAGAATGAAATAATAGCGAAGAAGATGCTGAGGCAAACAGCAGACTCAGCTAAAAGCATTCAAATACACAATTGCTTCTAAAACTGCATAATTTGGAGCCCTATTTTAAAGTAACAAGAACAAAAAGTATTACCCTTAGGAAGTCATGTAAGATTCAGTGTCCCATGAGAAAACTACACTGTGGAGGTTTAGTCTGGTTTCTGATATCAGAACATTATTATAATTTTTAAAAAATAGTTGCAAAATACATGTAACCATCTAACCATTTAACATGGATAGTTTAGTGGGGATAACATAGTCACAATTTTTTGAAGTCATCTTTTGAATCTATCTAGAGAATACTTTAATCACTTTAAAAAAATGCTGGACCCATTAAATATCTATCCCACTTTCTATTCTCTAAGCCCTGGAAATCACCTACTGTGTCATCACTATGGATATACCCATGAGAGGCATTTCAAACGAAAGGGAGAATATAATCTGTGGCCTTTCTGCCTGGTTTCTACCAGGCAAAGGCACTACTACGCTTCCTCTAGAGAAATAAAGTTTGCCCCCAACAGGACTGGTTCAACATTCAGAGCTCAGTAAGATCTTGTTGGATAGGTAAATATGTGAATGAAACAGTCAGTGGTTATTAGCAGAACTGAAGGGGTATGGACTACTCTACTACCAGGGCACTGAAAAGCGCTGACTTGTACCCATGTTATTGGAAGTCTACTAGAATTGTTTTCTTAGTGCTCAGCTTCACAAGTATCCACAAACACAGGAAGAGGAAGACTCTAGCACTACTCAAAAGGAGAGATCAACAACAACAAAACACAATATTAAAGAAACTTTAAAAGAAAATTATTGTGTCTTACATTGAATAAAGTAATATTATGTAATCAAAGGACCATGAAATGCTATGTTTTTAAAGCTATGTTTTACAGAGGTTGGGGATGCTGTCTAGTGCTATACAAACTGCGTGCCTACTGTGTGTTAGACCCTGAGTTCAGTACCCAGCACCTCAGAAGTAACAGCAAAGCTTCATATAAAGCACCAATACAAAACATACAAACAGTTAAAAAAACTTAAGTGTGTACAAACCAAAAATTTCTTTTGTATTTTTTAATCTGGCTCCACGAAGCAAGAGACTCTCTGGTCCCAGAGGTCTAAAGAAAAAAGAAACCCATAAGGCACTAAATATTCAATTAAATTAAAAGGCATCTTCAGTCAGAGGTACTTAACCTATAGTTACAACAGTTTTCATATAAAATCAAAACCCTAGCTACTGGAATGCTACCTGGGTTAATGTCAATTAAATGCTTTAGCATTTCAGTCATTTTAAGATCAATGTCAGGACTAAAGAGATCGCTCAGCAGTTGAGAAAGCTGGCTGATTTTGCGAGGATCTTGGTTTGATTCCCAGCACTGACATAGCAGCTCACAACCATCTGTAACTCCAGTTCCGATGGATCCGACATCCACTTCCGACCTCTATGGGCACTAGGCACTCAAGTGGTGCTCAGATACATGCTGACAAAACAGCCATACACACAAAAATAAAAAATTTAAATTAAGGTTTGCGATTTAAAAAGAAAACTAAAACTATAATAAACTTGCAAAGCCATCAATGTCAAAAATTTAAAAACAAAATAAAATAATTAATCAATGATTTAAAAAAATTTAGCAGAACCCAAAATCTAAATTTTGTTAGCAAGATTAACCATCAGTTTAAGAAAGAAAAACACAGAATTAAAATGCAGTGCAAACATAAAATTATCATGAGAGCTGTATAATATAAATGCATGAGTTCTGCATAATTAAAATTATGTTAGGCTGTAAAATATAATGTACAAAATATGTTAGTGTTTTGTAGGCAAAAATCACAAAACACCAGCTGACTACTTGTATTACACATGTCTCATGTACAGGCCTTCTTGCTGCTTGGATTCCTCTCCTTAAAAAAGATATAAAATGACAAGAAATAACTGCAAAGGAAATTGTATTTTTTTAATGATAGCAAGATGATTAAAAGTTTGTTATAGTCCTCTATTTTGTTGAGAGGCCTTAAGATTTCTGAAACATAAAAAAACTATTCAAATCAAACAAAACTTGGATCATTTATAAAAATATCAGCAAACCCAAATACTGTGGTGGAAAAATGCACTGAACCAGGAAGGTCAGAAACTTGGGACATGTTTTCCAAGTATGTTTACTAAAGAGTCCTGTTTGGAGACTCCTCATCTCTGCTACCCCAGAACTAGTGTGGCGGCTAACTACTCAGCGCCTACAAAACACATGTGTCACTGAAAATGCTTTCAACACTAAGCCACGTGCCCATTCAACACTCATTCCCTACTTCTTTCTACTCCCTAGCATGGTGTTGGTTCCAATAATGACATGAAAGGCATACAAAACTGGGATACCATGACAGATTCCAAATCAAAATAAATTCAATAGTTAACTGCCGCTGTTTCAGGAAAACACAGTTCATTCTTTCAGGCATGCAGGAGTGGGTGTTCTGTACTGCCAGGGTTCCTTTACCAGACACAATACTTGAGAACACAATACAGACGATATACCCACAAAATTTTCACTATTTCAATGCAGAACTGAAAATAAAACTTAGTCACAGATATTGATCAGGGATTGTGCGTATGGTATTAAAGTTTATTGAAGGTGCTTCTATGATAATGTTTATTAAAATAAGAATCAGTGCTGGCACATGACATTTTGATGGCATATCTTCAAGATCTAATTTTAAAATATTCAACTCTTTTTGCTACTTATTTAATGTAGTCAGCACACAATGAATGTGTCCCTACAAAAGAGTTGACAAAGTCATATTAAAATAAAAGTTTAATAGTTGATTCTATGATTGATTTTAAAGTAAGCCTTCAGGTCATAAGTTAAAATGTGATCTCATCCTATTAACAAATCTTTAAACGGACTCAAAGTCTCTTTCTTATTTAGATGCCAAATTATGTTGAGAAAACAGATCAAAACAACCAACCAACCAAAAAAGCTAAACAGAAGAAAGACTGTAACAGTTCAGAATTGGTCACTAAATACTATAATTGTACTCAGTACTAAGCCAACCACGGAATTTACATTTGCTAAACAGTATGTAAAACATGCATCTTTTTAAAAACTTTCTTGTAGGAAAACTGAATCCTGGACTTCACACATGGTACACTTGCTGTATGATGAACTGAACCCCAACTTACTTGACTTTAAGTGTTATGACTTAAATGTTTAAACATCTGAATTAAATCAGCAGTATTTCATTTAAAGTTGCTACCAAGAACTATCAAAAAATACAAATATTTAAACCTAAGCAATTGCTTTTATTTCATTATATAGAGTGCACCATCTTCACTTGTTGCTGCTAAAACCTACTAGCTGTTTTTATGCTTTCTCATGATATGCTGATTATTTACTTAATCCTCTTTAACTTTTGGTCTCTCTACCAGTTTCCAAAAGTAATTAGATAATGTGATTTATTCTTACCTTACAATTTCTTCCATTTGTTGAGTTATTATCATTCGTCCCATAAATCTGTGGGAAAATGTATCATATCACAAAGATAGGCAACATGAAATCAATGGATAAAATACATTTAGCACTGTCAGCCAAATGCAGTAAAATTCCTGTGTGTGTGTGCGTGTGCAGGAGTGCAGCAGATGTCCTCTGGCACTCTGGCACTTACTCCTCTAAGGCAGCTTCTTCTCCAGACCTGACGTGGTCAGTCTTTTAAAGCGGCTACCAGCAACCTTCTATCCTCTTGTCTCTGTCCCTATAGTACTGGGGTTACAAGCACAAGAGGCCACACCAGGCTTGTTGCTTGTTTGAGGCCACAAATTGAAGTCCTCATCATTGTGTTGCAAGCCACCACTGAGCCATCTTTCCAGGCCCTAATCAACCTTTTATGGAAATTTTGTTGTTATTATTTTGGTGCTGGGGACTAAAGCTAGGTCTTACAGATGCTAGGAAAGCACAAACTAACTGAGCCTCAGCTCCAGTACATCTTTTATATATACAAATCATCCGGTATTAGTGCTACACGGTAATTTTTTTAAAGTTAGACCTTAAGTTTTAAAAATTGATTTTTATTATTATTATTTAATAAGTTTATTACTTACTATTATATATTTATTATTCTATCTGTGATTGAAGTAATTAATGAAATCTCAAACTGACCATGTGACTGTCACATGTCACTCTTTTTATTAATCAACTTATCATAACTTCTAAATTACTACATAAAAATGCTTACATGACTTAGCCAACAATGAATATTTATATATTTCACTATAGTTTACCAAATAAAGTTACCTGTGGCCTACAAATCATTGGGCCCATATAAAATATTTATTTTATCCATTCAACAAATGTTCAATGAGCAACTACCATATATAAGATAAGCAGTGGAGGTAAAGTAGCAAGTTCAAACCTGTAGTAAAATCCCGAACTTCTTTAACTCTATAACCCTTTGTGGCTAAACTCTAGGGTGAATGGCCTGCTCCTATAGTGCACTTCCATAGTCTAGATTTTCAGCTCCACTTTCCACATCTGAAATAGCACCAAGTATACAGCTGATTCAAGAGAACAACTACCTAAGTAAAAATAAAAAAAATAAAAAAAAAACCCTCTGGACAAAGCTTCACGTTAATCTTTAGGTAAAGACATTTCTAAAAAATTTTAATTTATTATTTTCTTGTGATATATATGGGTATTTTGCCAGCACATATGTCTACATACCACATACATGCATGCCTGATGCCCATGTGGTAGATAAATTTTAGCATTCCCTTCCAAATGTCTCCTCTACTGCCCTTCCCATTCCAGGACAAATCTTTTATCTGCTGAGGAATTTGACTTTGTATTTCTTTCTGATTTCTCATTTTTACTTCAGGGAGAGTTGTTTTTAATTCTCCTTGTTCCAGAGAAGTTTATGTATCCTGACTCCAGCCTAGACTTTAAATTTAGATCCAAATCTGCCAGTGTTTCCCTGCACACCTTTAAGAACTGATATCTTAACCAGTTTTTTTTTTTTTTTTTTTTTTTTTTTGTTACCAAGCCAAATCCAGAAAGGACTTTGTTTTCTTTTTCCATATGCTGTTAACCTTGTTTCTGACATTCTAGTATGTGTTCAGGCCAGTTCTATGTTGTACCAACCCTTTTTGCAGTCCCTCGTCCTTTCTTCAAATCTGTTTTTTTCCAAAGTAAAAACAACTGTATAATTCTTATTTTCTGATCAGAAATATATGCTATATACTGGCACACACATATATATTTTATAAACTGATTCAGATGAAATAAGATGGCAAAAAATTAACATTTTGTTGATGAGGTTTTTTGTTGTTGTTGTTGTTTAATCATAAAAACACAAGTTAGAGTCATCTGTGAAGAGAACCTCAACTAAGAAAATGCCTTCATCTGGCCTACAGAAAATCAGTGTAGCATTTTCTAGATTATGCATTGATGTGGGAGGGCCAAGCCCACTGTGAGCAGGTGGTACTTGGTTGTATAAAAAAGCAAACTGGGAAAGCTATGGAGAGCAAACCAGTAAACACTGTTCCTTCATTTTCCTGCTCTGACTTCCCTGAATGGTGGACTATAGACTGTAAGATGAAGTAACCCTTTCCTCTTCAAGTTGATTTTGGTCATGGTGTTGAAAGCAACAGAGAAGCAAACAAAGTCAATAACTATTAGGAATCTCACTATTTAACACTGTTAATGTTTGCGAGTATATATGCATTCTAGACTTCACATACACATTTGAGCCCTTATATTAAAACCACAACCAGGGTCACGATGTAAATGTTTTTGGTAACATTTTCCTCTTAATATGTCCTATAAGAAGTATTTACTAGGCTGGGGAGATGGCGTAGTAGAGTTTGCTATCAAGCATGAGAATCAAGGTCCATCTTTAGTACCTAGATAAAAGCTGAGTGCAGCAGTGCACACCTGTAAACCTGATGCTGATGAGAGAGACAGGCAGAACTCTGGAGCTCACTGACCAGCAGTCAGTCCTGCCCAATCTATGAACTCCAGGTTCAGTAACAGATCCTGTCTCAATAGGAGGCAAGAAATAAGGTGGAAAATAATTGAGGAAGGCATTGCACATTGACCTTTGATCTCTACAAGCACGCACAAAGGTGCACACAGCCAACATGCCCACATACATAAGCGCTCGCTCTCACACACAATCTAATGTAAAATTTTAATTGGTACCTTTTGCTTAGAATTCTATTAAATTCTGCCTTTTGTTTTTCACTTTAATTTCAGGCATCACAAATATTATTATCAAATCAGAGTTTCATTTTAAAGGCCAACAAGATGTCTCATGAATAAAGGCACTCGCTGCCAAGTTTGATAACCTGAGTTCCCCAACACTCACATGTTAGAAGGAGAGAACAGACTCCTGAAAGTAGTCCTTTGACTTTCATATACACACAGTGGCATGCATGTGCCCAAACACATATGCACACAAACTATATAAAATGTCATAAAATTAAAAAAAATTATTTTATGTTTATGGTTACAAAAACAAGGCCTTGTTAATAGAAGCTAAGCTTCTATTAGGATTTTTAATATAAAATTAATAAATTT